CAGCTGAAGAGTCTCAGGCCTTTACAGCTTCCTGAGAGGTAGAGAGGGTGGCGAGCTATTCCTCTCATCACCTTCCATTCCAGGCCAGGCCGTGAGGGTCGACTTCCAGGTGATGGAGGGCGGGGAGCTGTCCCAGGACGGGGCAGCAACACGCACCTCCTTCACCCCCTTCACAACACCAGGACTCGGGGCACAGCAAGGGAGCGAGGGCATGGGGGGACCTGAGCAGGGAGGTCAGAGTGGGCCCAGGCCTGGCCGAGTCACCTAACATCCCTTGAGCCCCACGTGCCTCAGACTCCTCAGAATAAGGAGCTCTGCAGTCAGAGCCTCAATTTCTCCTTCTGATAACACCGATGACAACATTACTAGGTGCCAGGCGTGGTGAACGGCTGTCCGTGCCTTACGTTTGCGGGGACACTCGCAGCCTGCTTTTTTGAGGCAGGCGAAAGTGGTGGTGAAAGGCCTGGTCTCTGGTTAAGTCTTCTGGGTTCTGGTCTATCTAGTCCTCTCACTGATATTCTGGGTGACTGTGCAAACTGTTTAAGCTTCTTTTTTTTTTTTTTTTACATGTTAAAGTAAGATATTTATTATGCTAAAGAGCAGATTTTATTCTCTGTTTTCCCACAGCATAGTAATTTAACACACAATACAAACTGATATATTCAGTCGTTCCCAAAAATGATTATTTTAAGCTTCACTTTGGAAGCCCTTAAAAACTTACACTCTTAAGTGATCTGTATTACAGTTATCAACAAACAAGTTACTTCAGAAAAGTCTTAGTGTGAAAGAGGCCTCAACTCCTTGGGTCTGGGAACTTGTGTGAGGGAAAATACTTGCTCTGCCTCTATATCTGAGCTACAGCAGAGTCAGGCTCCTTTTTCTTACGGTAACACGGCTAGGAATCCTAGTTTGAGAAGATTATTCTAAATTTAATATTGCAACTTTCACCATAGGGCTTCCATTGAAACTGCATTTCAAGTAGAAAGAAAGGAGTGTGAGAAATCAAATTTTGCTGCAGACCAAAATTATTCTACAAAATGCAGAAATAGTAACAGCTTACCATGAACTCAGCAAGGCTTCATAAAAGTGCAGCGGGTAAACTTTACAAATAACCACTTTCATTTGGTGGCAGAACAGCTAAAGAGTCAGTGTCTGGGACAGTAGCCTTTGGATTGGTTATCAGAGACAAAGAGCTTCATGATAAGCCAAGTTCCCAGCTGATATTATACTGAACATATTAATAATCTCCTGAAAGGGTTCCCAATTCTTTGTCTTTCAAGCACAATTTAAAACATGCTCAACAATTTCTTTCTGCATTACCTAGCTTTTAGCAAGTTTATACTGGACTTGTACTCTACAAAGTTTGTCTAGCTGTACAAACCAAAGCAGGAGCTGAATGGCTGCTCTGTTTGCATACAGACTTAATGCAAAAAACATCATTCTAAGACAACGTCTAAAATTAAGCTACTGTTTTTATTGTTCTGCTTGTACCTTAACTATGGCCTATGGGATTTGCTAATTTCAAAGGTCGTAGAGCCAACAAGCCCGGTGTTATCTGCAGACCATTGGAGATACAATTTATACTTGAAAGCATGTTCCTGTGTTCTATTTTCTCCTCTGAGAGCATAGGCTTTAGCTGGTCAAGGTGCTCACATCTTGTCTCATCCTCAGGAGGCCTTGAGGATGGGCGTGCAGCGTCTTAGATAACAGCAGGGGACACAAGCAGGACAGTTCCAGCGCAGAGCCTGGCCCCTCGGGAGGAGCCCTTAGCGAGTCACCCTTGGAAACTCCTGTTCTCTGCAGTTGCATGTGGCCTGGCCATGCTGAAGCACAGGGCTCTCCCCTGCAGCACTGTCCTCTGTGGCTGTCTGCGGCTTCCTGACCTCCTCCTGGCCAGTCCCTCTGCAGAGCTGCCCCGGCACCTCCGGATGGTGCAGCAAGGTACTCTCCCACTGGGACAGATGCAGGAATGGGGACAGACCCACAGCCTTGCTGTGACCGCTGCCGGGGGTGACTTTCTTCCCATGGGTCCCTTCCAGTTCAGAAGTGCCCTGTCACTGGTAGGAAGCAGGAGGCCAGCCTCCTTCAGACTGGCTTCCGCTTTCCAGGATAGCGCCTTGCTCTGCTTGTTTCCATCTCCATCTCTGTCTCCCGAAGGCGTGCTCAGCCGGGAAGGGGAATCTGCGGGCAAGGCTCCCCTTCAGCTCCCTCCCCTCGAGGCTGTGCGGCACTCTGTCCTGGTCCTCCCCTCCCTCCCATTGCTTTGGCTGTGCAGGTGCCGAAGTTCCCTCTTCTGTCCCCCATGCTTTGTGTCCTTTGCGGTGGTGAGCCCAGGCTGACGCCCCTGTCAGGAGGGGATAGCCTTCAGTGGCTCTCAATATGAACCTGCAGGCGCACCTTGAGCATCATGGAAACCACCATGTAGAGGTAGGGGAAGTTGATGCGCGGCCGCCAGGCCAGGGTGAAGATGAGCAGCGTGCGGGTCAGCCCCTTGCAGAAGAGCCCATAAGAGCGGGTGGCCAAGTGCAAGAGCCAGACAGCCAGGCCCAACAGAACCGCTGTCACATAGAGACGCTCTCTGTGGCTGCCCTCAGCGTGTCGCCCCGAGCTCAGGGAGCGAGGGAGGCGGCGGCCAGCTGTTTAAGCCTCTTTGTGCCTCAGTTTTCTTACCGCTAAAATGGGGATTCTGGTAATACCTGCTGAGTAGGACTAAATAAGCTGCATGTTTCACAAACTTATAGTGGCACTGGGCACACATAGGCTGTTATGGGTGTGTGGGGCCTTATAATCTTGTCATTAACTTCTTTGGGGTCTTCCCTTCACCATCTTATATAAAGGGTCCTGTTAGTCACTACCATTTCATTTTATTATCTTCAAAGCACTTACGGATCTTCTCTTTCTCCTTTCATCCTGTTACTGTCTGTGTGCTTCTACTAACATGTAAGTTTCTCAGGAGTCAGGTCTGTGGCTGGGACATAGCAGCTGCTCACTGCCACATGTGGCGGCACATGCCTGTCATTCTAAGCACTCAGGGAGGCTGAAGCAGGGACATCTCAAACTCAAGCCCAGGCTGGGCGACTTAGCAATTTAATGAGAGCCTGCCTCAAAATTAAGAAAAATAATAAAATGAAAGAGAAGGGACTGGAGATGTAGCTCAGTGTGAAGGTCCTGGGTTCAGTGCCCAGGACTGCAGGTAGATGGTGATGATGAGAGAGAGAGAGATAAATAGGTAGATAGATGATAGAATAAATAGATGCTCAGCACATCTTTGCTGAATTATTTTGTTGGACCTTTCCAAACTCTGTGAAGCAGATACTCACGGTAACCCATTCAGTGGAGGAGCAAACTGAGGCTCCAAGAATCTGCTTGCTGGAGGTCACCTCTCTAGGACTCAAACCCAGTTTGATTCAAGAGTTCCTGCTCCTAAATACTAAGCTGGATTGGCTCCTCCCACTTAAAAGCCCTTAGCAGGTAGGTGGGAGGGATGCACATCTGCCCAGCCCTCTCTTGGGGCAGTTGGAAGGGCAATGGCTCGGACTTCATTCTCCTGCCAAGCTCAGCCCAGCACTTCCTGCCAGCACCCCCCTTTCCACCTGCCCCAACTCTTTCTATGAAAACCTACACTCATCCCTTCACCTCTGGCCCCAGTCCTCCCTCCTCTCCTGTCCCACCTGATTCCTTCTCTGAGTCTATTTCAGTCTCACCCTCATCCTATCCCTGAGACAAGGCTTGGGTTGGGCTTTGTCCAGGGCCCTAGGCCAACATCTGTAACCCAGACAGGAGAAGGTTTGCTTCCTTTTTGTTAGTATAAAAATTATCACAAATTCCCTCTGAGTCATCTCCCCTAGTCATTCTGTAATATGTATTTTCCAGAGAGTGACCTCTGCTCCCGCACTCCTGTGCTGTTGGTGACTTCATTTTCTCAAGCCCAGTGTGTATCGCCCGAGGGCTGCCCTTCCTGCCCTTGCCCTAGGAGAGTATGGGGGGACTTTCCGAAAAGGTGGCATCAGCTTGGGGCTCTGCAAATGGCCAGGCCAGAGATGCTCTAACATGCTTGTAAGTTCTTGCCTGCTGGCCCTCATTCAGTGGTTCTCTGAGAATCTTTGCAGGGTTGGTCAGAGTGTCCGAGCCACGTGAAGGAACACATATCTAGCACTGACATCCACAGCCAGGCCAGCTGAGTGCCACCCATGGTGACTCAAGGTCATGATGGCGTGTCCCACCATCCAGCTGGGCATGTCCTCAGTGATCACAGCATCTTCAGTGAGCTTTACTTCCCCTGGCGAGGAAGGGGTCAGGGCAGAAGAGGGACATAGAGTGTCGCCATGGCCAGTCTAGCAGGGACAGGCGAGTTAGGATCAGAAACATGTCACGCAATTTTCAGAAGGGAATAAGAAGACACTAATGGGTCAGATCTGGAAATAAAGCTATGGGTGAGGCTTAAGGACCTGGAGGCCAGGATAAATGACCGGTGCCACTTGGCAAGGGGCAGCAGGGCTGGAAGCCAGGAGGTGCGGTGCTGTTCGTAAACCACTGGACGAATAATCAGCACTCACTGCAATTATATAATCTAGTCTATGTTTCATCTGCATAATCATCAGGACAGCATTGCTATCTGACTTCTCAGTGCCCTCACTGTATTCAGTGTATTCTCTGTATTAAGAGATCTGAATACATAAGCACATGCTCCCAGCTAAGTTCAGGGGTTTTCTTCTGCACCATTCACAGGTAAAGTCAGCGTTAGTATCCCAGGTCTTTTGCATCCTTATCTGGTGTTGGTCCAGTTTCATCAGAGAAATATCTTCACTATAGAAGCTCGGGAACCAGATGCAACTGCCTCTCAATAAATGGAGTGGGGAGAGGGGGCAGGCTCAGGGATGTGGAAATGTCCCTGTTACAAATTCTCTGGGCTGGAGAAATCCATGACCCAGAAATTCCATGGCGAGAGATATATACCCAGGGGAAATGAGTGTATGATATTCACCAAACATTACATCCAAGAATGTTCGCAGCAGCTTTATTTGTAATTAGCAACTGCCCCCAAAAACAAACCAGTCCAAATGTCACCAGTAGAAGAACAGATAAACAAATGGTGGTGCAATCTCTACATAAGAAGGAATAAACCATGGACAGACACACACCATGAATGAATCACACAGGTGTGGGCGAGGAGAGGCCAGTCTTAATGAATGCATTCAGTATGACCCAGGCCCACGTGACAGAAGTCACATCAGTAGCAGCTTCTCGGAGCTGGGGGGAGACTGACTAGAAGGGGGTACGAGGGAAGTTTTGGAGGGCGATGAATTATTGACATGTTTTATATCCTGATTGGGTGGCGGTGTAGGAGCTACGTGGTTACTTCAAGGTCTGTGCACTTTATGCAACTGTGCCTCAATCTAAAATATGTTATATGGCTCAGCTTTCTAGGAAAGAGCCGGGAAAGGAAGGGTCTTCATGGATACAGAGGTGACATCCAGGGTAGCTCCAGTGTAAGGCAACACCTGATCTCATCTGCTGGGACACAGGAGTTTCCCCGGAATGAGAATTCCAGGGCTAAAACTGCAGGTGTCCTAGACAAACCAGGAAATCTGATCACCTAACTGCTCTGAAAGTGAGGAATTGAGAGAGTTTTGGAATCTGGCAGGGAAGCTGGGTTCCCCTGTGCCAGGACCCAGGAGCTGCCCCAGCGGGCTCCAAGAGGGACCTGCCAGGCCGTCAGGGCAGCGGGCATCAGGGTGGACACTGGGACTTCAGGGCCGGACGCACCTCTGTTCCCTGGCATCCTTCTCAAGCTCCTGGCCCTGTGGGAGCAAGAAGGGGTGGAGTGGGGCTGTTCCTCTTTGGAGCTGAAGGGGAAAGGCCCAGGGACTGGGTTGAGGCAACAAGGCTTCCAGCTGGGCCCCGGGAAGATTCTAGCTCAGAGGTACCCTACTCCCTCCTACCTTAGCAACACATCAACTTGGAAGCAACACAGAGAAGTGGGGACTCATGGAAAGAAGCCGATGTTGTATACTTCTACTGCCACAGTCTCACAAGCAGAGATTGGCCCCTCCCACTTGGCTTGGTACAACCCACCCTGGCTCAGGCTGGGGGTGAGGAGGGCTCCTCTCTCTCCTCAGAGCATGGGACAGACAGGGCCCTCAGGGAGCTGAGCAGCAGGGAGGGGCGACATGAGCCACAGAACCCGGGCAGGAAACCGGAAGCAGGAGGAGGGAGGGCAGGCTTAGAAGTTCTCATAGTGGTGCATGAAGTGGGCTCCGTCCTGCCTGTTGATGAGCTGACAGGCTTTCTCTACATTCTTGGTCATGCCTGGGGGGCCGCAGCTAAACACCCCCATCTTGCACACCTGCCAGGTGATGGAGAGAGGAGAGGCCAGACCCTTGAGACCCTTGCTCCCCACCATGACCTGCTTTCTATCCCAGCCCCGAGGGGAGGCTTGAGCTGTTGCGGGGTGAAGTCCTCCTCCAACACCTCCAACATCCCAGGGCCGGAGGTGGGGTTCTCTGCTCAGAACTGAGCTGCACAGGGCTTGAGGCCGGGAAGAGCAGAGTCCTGGGCTGTGGGCTGGACTGACCTGTGGGTGCACCTCCGTCAGGGAGTTGAAGAAGGCCTCGAATGGGGGCCGGCCGAAGTGGGTGACGGAGCGCAGGCCCGTGAACAGACTCCGGTTCAGCACCTTCTGGAAGTGCCGCTCGCAGATGTACTGGGAGGGACGCGGGAGGTCACAGCCAGGCCGCCGATGCCCGATGATGCCTGGGCCAACTCCCAGCCCCGCCTGGCAGCGACCACCTACCAGCATGGTGGTCCTGAGGTCGAACTTCTCGGCCAGCTGGGTGATGTAGATGTGCACGGAGACCAGGTCCCGGTGGTCATTCTCCTCCACCTCCCGGATGATGTCGGCCAGCCACTCGAACTGCCGCTGGGTCCGAGTCACCCAGATGAAGTAGATCTGGGGACATAGGGGATACATGCTTTCACCCGACGGACTGCAAAGCCCCAGGCACCCACAGGCAGCAGAGCTCTGTCAGGTGCTACCGGCCTCCAAGGGACAGACGCCAGCAGAGGCCTCTGGCTACCTCTGCCCTCTGTCCCTCCAAGCCTGGCATCTCAGCTGCTGGGTGTGAATGGGCCCTGCACAGCCAGCACCTGGGAGCCAGGAGCTTTCTCATGCCCCTCTGTGGTGACGCTGGGGAGCCACCAGGCCACCTGCTCCCAATCCGAAGAAAGGAGGAGGGACGTTCACCTTTTTACAGAGCATCTGGCTGCCCAAGGATGATTTGAAGACCAGGTCTTTGAGGATGGAGGCAAAAGGGGTGACCCCGATGCCCCCTCCTACCAGCACAGACACCTCAAACTTATGCCACTCCTGGTGGCCCTCTCCGAAGGGTCCATCAAGGTAGAGCTGCCAAGAGGAGAGGGAGAGGAGGTGAGCCTAGCCTTACCGCAGCTCTGAGGCCATGATCGGGCAGGAGTGTTCCCAGGGGAGAGGACAGAACACCCTAGCCTCTTTGGGGGCACCCTGGCCCCCTCCTAGCCTGGTCTTGGGTGGCCAGAGTATCTAGTTTCAGGCAAGGCCAGCAGGGACCCTCTGCCATAGCAGAGACCCAGAAGCAGGGTACCTTTGGGTAGGTGGCACCGCCTTTGCCTTTCGGGGGTGAGTAGATCTCCTGGAGGCGCATGGTCCAGGGCCCCACTGCCCGGATGTGCAGACTGAGCGTGTCCTCATGGGGCGCGGAGGTCAGTGTGAAGGGGTGGTACTCATTGGTGCCCAGGGCCAGGCAGGCGATCCGCACCCACTGTCCTGACTTGTACTCGAAGCCCTGAGGCCGCTGGAACTGCAGGTGGGTCACTCCTGGGGTCACGAGCAGGGAAGGGGAGAGATCAGAGGCCACTCCTGGTACCTCAGGACTGACCTGTCCGGCCCACACTCCTGAGGCCCAGGGAGTGTCCCAGGGCCACAGGGTCTGGGAAACTGGGGGTGGGAGTAAGAGAGTCTGTTTCTGTGTCCTGGATGACACAGGACTTGGGCTTCTCTGCTCCCTGTTCAGCCCTTCTTCTTTCTCCTCTCTATCCATGGAGAATCCCAGCCTGCAGGATGAAGGGACTTGAGGACCCTTGGAACCCCTCGGAGTTTACCAGATGTCCCTCACTTTATCTTACAGTGAGTGTCCTGATGCTGCTCTGACATCTAAATCATCTTCCACCACCCTCCACAGTGACACAAATCCCCACTTAGGACTCAGGGCCATTTGCCTGTCACCGATGGGGTTGCTTGGAGAGGATGTATGGCTTCCTGGCCTGCCCTCCCCCGCAGCTGGCCACCCTTGTTGGGGTCTTTATTGCCATCAGTTCCTCCTGCCTTGCTTTCTGCTGCCTCCTCACAGTTACTGCTGCCCCACTGGTCCCCTGGGGGCCAGGCACAGCCCTTTCGGAGGCTGCATTCCCACCAGGAAAGCTGCAAGAGCTCTGAGAGAGTGCGAGGTGGTGAGGGGGTCAGGAGGCCTGGAGGCTCCAGCGTGGCTGAGGAACCCACGACTGGTGCTCCGCACCCAGGCCAGGCCAGGTCAGTACCTGAGGGCAGCAGCTCGGCCGTCACCACGCTGATCTCCACCTTCTTCCGACTCAGGCTCACCAGCTTGTCCCCTCCCCAGATGATGGCCGGGACCAGGAAGTAGATGTGGAAACTGGGCAGCTGGATCACAGCGAAGCTGCCATGGATGATGAGCTAAAGACACAGCCAGTTAGTAGAGCTGGGGCCTAGCCAGGCCTCGCCTGCGTCCCCCTCGCCCCAGCACTTCCTTCCCAGGTGCTGGGCCTGGGCTGCGTGCACGGGTTGGTGGCAGAGGTTTGAGTCTGAGGCTACAGATCCCAGGACCTCAGTTTGAGAGCTAGGGTCCGATGCTGCCTCCTTTACCGGCTTCCCATCCCATCCCAAGTTGCCTCCCCCTGCCCAGAGGACCCCTCACCAGGGCATAAAGCACGACGTAGAGGTGGTGTGTCAGCCAGAAGGCCTGGAAGCTGCGGCGACGGAAGTAGTGGGAGGCAAAGACGTACATGATGGCCAGGACCAGGAGCAGGAGCACCCCTGTCATACCTAGGGATAGGAAGACAGTCAGAGAGCTGCCTGGGGACTTCAGCCTGGGCTGACATACACCAGAGTGTTCTGTCATTCCGCCCTCTCATCCCTCCAGGGCCCCCGGGAGGAGCTGGAGCTGAGGCTGGTCCAGGTGGCTGGACAGGGACCCTGTAGCCACTAGAGACCAGTGCATATTTGGGGAGGGGTCCTCAGAGGAACCCCCGGGTGCCACCCCTCCCCAACTCCTACCTGGAATGGTCTCGAAGAACCACCAGTAGAACTTCGGGGGAATCTTAGACCTGTGGGGCAGAGACACAGTGAGCTTCAGCTGGGGCAGGAGGACGCCACCAATGTCACACACAGGCTGACCCTGTTGCTGCTGGCCCTGGCTGTGGAGGTAAGAAGGCTCCCAGCCAGATGGCCCAGTGAGCTCCCAAGGAACATGGCGCCCAGCCCCCACTCTATACTGTCAGCCATTTTCCTCCTGTGTTACTCTAAACTCTCTTACTGCGGTTCCCTTTGCTTCCTTGAGTGCTCCATTTATTATTATTATTATTTTTTTGGTACCGAGAATCGAACTCGGGACCTTGCGCTTGCGAGGCAGGCAGTGGAACCACTGAGCTAAATCCCTGGCCCTCCATTTATTATTTTCGAAGCTCTACAGGGGCTTATGTTTTGTTCACTGTTCCATTCCTGGGCACACAGCAACACTGGGCAGAGTAAATCCTCAATACATGTCTGTTGAGTGACTGTCTTGATGTCCCTACTCTCTGGCATTGGATGACTGACAAGGAAGTGGCCCGTAAGTGCCTGCCCAGTGAATGGATGGTAAACCAAGATGGCAGAAGCTGTGTGCCAAGGACCTGTGGGAAAGAGTGTCGGGCTTCCTCTCCTGAACACCTGCCTGGCAAGTCCCAGCCAGGTCCCTTCCTGAGGGCAAGGTGACCGCCTCAGCCAGCCCAAGTGGGTCCCCTTGCACCTTCACTCCGTGAGGAGAGGGTCCCTGGCCATCTGTTCCTCTAATACCAAGGCCCAGAAGACCCCAGAACTGACCCGTCATTCACAAAGACGTTGGGGAACACGCAGGCCAGCAGGTTGAGGGGGCTGACTGAGAAGATGTAGAAATTGACCATGTGGGCGGCACTGTGCAAGACTGAAAGAGGTCATGTCAGAGATGCCACGTGGGGCCCACACTCCCCCAGCCTCCAGGGACAGAGGAGACGCAGGGAGGAGAGACGGGAACTAAGGATCCCTGGGCTCCTCGCTGTTCCTGCCAGGGAGCCGCATACTGGCCAGGAGGACGGCGCCCATGGCGACCCAGCGGTGGAAGTCCACGGCGGCGTCGAAGGGGATGTAACGGTTGAGGAAGGTCTCCCGCAGGAAGGTGATGAGGTTGCGGCACATGGTGAGCAGGATGTAGGAGAACATGAAGGAGAGGCTGGCCGCCGTGCCCCGCGACAGGATGATGCCCACGTAGGTGGTCTCTTCGATGTCCGTGGGTGGCGAGGCAAAGGCGTAGTCTGTGGCCGGAGGTGGGTGGATGAGCATGGCGCGGGGCCAGGGTGTGAGAGCTACCCCCCCCATCCTGGGCTCTTACAGTAGGCGCGATCTGCAAAGAGCCCCACGCAGATGGCTGAGAAGATGGCGGTGCACACGATGTGGCGCCTGTAGTTCTCCACAAAGCGCTTGAACTGCTGCAGCTTCTGGGCCATGAAGCCACGCCGCATCTTCTCCTGCAGCGCCTCGGTGTACAGCCGGGGAGGCGGCCCCAGCGCCCTGCGGCAAGAGGGGCCAGGTGAGGGAAGAGGAGGTCCCTGGCCTGTCCCCAGGGCCACCCATGCAAGCGGCCCAGGTGACCTCCAGGGTCAGGACCAGCCATAAAAGACAAGGAAGGAAGGCAGCCCCTGCTCCGACCTCGCCTGTCGCTGCCTGCCTTACCAACCCTCCTGTGACTCCCCCTCCTCGTCTCCTCTTTGTTCTGCATCCCCCACCCTGCTCCCTGCACCAGGAGCCAGGAGAGTCCTCACTACCCTCCCGATGCTCCTTCTGAGCCAGGCCCTTTGCCTGAAGGACCAGGTTCAGGGATTGAGAATGAAAAGCCACCCCGGCCTCTAGACGTCTCTCCATGCCTCAGAAGGTCTCAGGATCTGGGGAACACTCACTTTTTGCCAAACCTCTTCTTTAGCCCAGAACCCCCCAGTTCAAGGGTTTCTGAGGCAGGGGGTGCCAGGTCCTGGGGGCAGGAGCTGCAGAAAGGGAGGGGCCTGTTCAGCCTGTGTCTCTGCAGCCTGGAGAACTGCCAGCCCAAAGCCTGGGGTGCAGGCAGGAGGTGGCTCATCTGCCGCCTGGAGTGTTGGGAGAGAGCCCAGCTCCTGAGCAGTTTTGGGTGCGGCAATGGCAGCTGCAACTGGGGAGGGCCTGAGCCAGGCACACTGGCCAGCGCCGCCCCTGCTCACCTCTCTCCTGGCTTCCCAGTGATGAAGGAGACCCGCCAGTTGCTGTTTTGCTTAAAGACGTCTCCAAAACCTGGAAAGTAGAGCAGAGGCTAGCCTGGCTCCCCTGGGGGCAGTGGGGTGGGGTGCAGGGCCGCCTGACCCTCTAGAAAGGCTGCCAGGGCACTTGCTGGTGGCTTGGTCATGTCCCGAGCTCTGGCTATAGTCCTTTTCTCCTCCACACTGGGCACCCACTACACTGAGCAGGCAGCACTGCCACTTTGAGCAATCAGAGAAAGGGGTGCGCTCTGGGCAGATGGATGCCTGACATCTTTTTTCTTTCTTCCCTTTTTTGAGACAGGCTCTCGCTATGTAACCCGGGCTGGCCCTGAAGTTGCTAGTAGCTCAGGTTGGCCTCAAGCTCATGACCCTCCTGCCTCGGGGTCCCAAGTGCTGCAATTACAGGCATGTGCCAGTTTTTATGTCCTTTGTGTAAAGAAAATAACACCTCTGCCCCAGCTGGGTGCAAGCCAGGACACTGCTCTGGGCTGCGAGCGGTGTGAGGCTGGCTTTCAGCGAGCATCTCCGCGCAGTAAGCAACCTGGACAGCTGTATATGGTGGACTAACAGCACACCTGGCTCAATCTCAGGCACCAAGGACTCCGAAGAGAAAGACCAGGGCCTGTGCACTGGGAACTGTCTTTATGAAGACGCTCTTTCCACACTCACACACCTCCACCGCCGCCTTTGACGCAGAGCTGTGTGAAGCGGAGCTCGCTGTTGTGGTCCCGCAGCATGAAGTGGAAGTCCTCCCATGTCAGCTCCCCCTTGTCCCGGAAGCCCGCCTCCCGGAACATGGACTCCACCACCTCGGCCAGCTGGGTCTTGGACAGGCAGTTGTTGGAGATCTCGATGAAGGACCTGGGGTGGGGGACCGAGACAGACCAGCCTGTTGCCCACAAGGTCAGGCGTGGGGAGGCGCAAGGTGGGGCAGGCTCCGATTGTCTGCTGTCGTTACCGGTAACCCAGGAAATGGCACCAGGCAGGTGCTGGTCCAGCCTGCGGTCTACACGAAGGCAGGTAGGGCGGTGGCCACAGCTCACAAGACCGGGCAGACTGAAGGTGACCTTGACCAGCTACAGAAAGCAGCCCTCAAATGGGGATCTGCTGCTGGGGATGAATGTCTACTTCGCGCAGGGAGGTGTTGGGGCTCACGGCCCTCTCTTGCAGTGGGCTCTCTGCCCACACCCTTCTGTGGATGTGTCCCACGCCAGCCCTGGACCCCACTCTCACTGATGGCTGGGCAGGGGCTGTAGCTGCTTCCTGTGGCAGCACACAGCTCGCACAGCCCGGAAGCAGAGGGAACAACACCCGGGGGCACAGACGAGAGCGTCTGCCCACTCAGTCTCACAGCACAGTGGCAGTTTGTGGCCACACTCTTTCCTTAGCTTGGACAAACTGTCCACGCAAATGCGTGCAAGGCCAGCAGAGAAGAGCTGGGCCCAAACAGTGCAGCAAGCACGACTGTCGTGTGACAAAGCACCGTCCCACAGAGACTAAGCAAGACCCACACTGAGCTACAGGGCGAGAAGGGAGAGCTCAGCCCTCAGGGTAGCGGCCTTGTCCTGGATTCTCCTGCTGGCTGTCATGAGGAGTGACACTGAGTGACCAAGGTCATCCATCCAGCATTTCACTGTGTGAGATGTGCAGCAAGAGTTCACGAAGGTCCGAAGGCATCCAAGGGGTGAGAGGACTCCTGAGGTTGGTCATAGTGTTGGGTTTTTCACCGTGGCTTGGTTTTTCTGAACCAGTGAAACCTCCCTGGCTGACGCTGGCAGTGCAGAGGAAGACCCTGCCTGCGCAGGAGTCTGCCAGGCCAGTTTGGAAGCCCGATGTTCTGAGGGTTGGGGACACAGCATCCTGTCCGCCTGCAGACGAAATCCAGCCCACCCGCCTGCCCTCCTCTGACCTGCCCTGCTTTTCGGGTTAGGACACTGGATGGCTCGGCCCATACCGCATCATGGTGAAGAACTCATCCTTGGAGAGGAAGCCGTTCCCATCCAGATCGTACATGGTGAACATCAGACGAGACTTATCCTCTGCGGAGCCTGGGGAGAGTACATGCAGCTGCCGGCCTGCTCACAGGCTCCTCAGATGGCTGCCACCCCCGGACAGGCCCCACCTTTCATGAAGACCACCAGGATGTCCAGGAACTCCCGGAAGGACAGGTAGCCGTTGCCGTCCTTGTCGGCAAGGGAGAACATGGACTCCACAAACATGTCCTGGGGCTTGAGGCCCAGGGACTCGGCAAACTCAGCCCTGCTCAGTTCGCACGTCAGCGCCTCCCGCACCTTCTGGGATGAGTCCAGGGGCAGCGTCCCCGCGTCCGCCTGGTTGATGTCCAGCACCTGCACTCGGGCAGCGGCAGAGGACGGGAGAGCAGGGGAAAGGTCAGTGACTTCACGTGGCCCCAGAGTCCATTTGAGAAAGGCGGAGCCATGCTCCTGGGGCTCTGCGCTCCTAGAGCAAGAACGGACTCAGAGCCCACCACTCTCCCAGAAGTGCCACGCCATAGGGACAGAGCTGGGGGGCAGCAAAGGGGCAAAGCTGGGGGCACAAGGAAAGACACTAGAGGCAGACGCTGGCGGCAGACATGGCGGACAGGCCGGAGAGACCGGGGCTATGTGTGCTCTTTCTCCAATTCAGCGGGGCTGCCGGGTGCCTGAGATCGGGTCTCTGTCCGTGTGCGGGGAGTTCAAAAGTCACACGTAACGACCATTTGTTAAATGCCTCCAGCGTGCTCAGGCCAGGCGCAGTGCACAGCAGAGTGGTTTTCAAACTCGAGCCTGCTCCAGGACCACCCAGAGGCCTCGTTCAAAGAGACTGCTGCACCCAGCCTGAGCCCCTCACTCAGTCTGGGGATTCACATTTCTAACAAGTTCCCAAGTGAGGTCAAGCACAGGAGGTGCAGGGCCAGTGCTCACCAGCCTTTGAGAGCCCCTCACAGCCGCTCTCATCACTGCTTTATGGAGGAGGAAAGGGAGTACAAGGGCTGAGGGGAAAACGCTTAAATTTAAAAATGTAGGGCCAGGGATTTAGCTCAGTAGTTCTACCACCTGCTCTGCAAGCACAGGGACCCGAGTTCAATCTCCGATACCAAAAAATTTGTATTACAGTAAAAGTCACGTTGCCATGAGTCCCCCTCAAAATCCTCCCCTTTGCTTTAAACACACGTATCTTATGGTTCTTGCCACTTTCCGCACCAGCTCTGGAGTCCTCTTTCCTGAGCATCTTTATGAGGTGGGACGAAAACTAGTGTGAATGTCGCTGCCGAGCACAACTAGACACTCAGGAAAGAGCACTCCCAGACCTGCTTCAGAGAGTGACAAGGATGATGGGATGAGTGTCTTAAGTGAGCTTGAGTATTTTGAGACGGATTCATGGCACTGTACTTTTCACAGAAATACATTTTCTTTTTTTTGGGGGGGTACCAGGGATCGATCTCAGGACCTTGCCCTTGCAAGGCAGGCGGCAGCACCACTGAGCTAAATCCCCAGCCCCATTTTCTAAAACTCAAACACACACGGTATTTTTCTACCACATGCCGCAGCTAGTGCGTGGCATAGCCAGGCCACGCCCAGCCAGGCCGTCTGCGTCTGGGTTGGAGCCTCCCCTAGGCTGAGCCCGTCCCAGAGGGCAGGAAGCAGTGTGCTACCTGAGCAAAGAGGTGTCTGAAGAAGATCTCCAGGATGCAGCCCCGCTGCTGCTTGGTCACCGCCTCCCTGAGCAGCTGGCTCTCGCCCATCTCGGCCACTTGGAGGCCCAGGGTCCAGCATGTGCACAGGTCCTGCAGCTGCTGCACAAAGGCACCGCGCTCCTCTTCCGAGTTAAACTGCAGCACCTGGGTGACAGGGAGGCCCCACTGCCATGCTCAGAGCTGGGCTTCCGTCCAGGACAGGGAAGCTGCCTCAGGGGGTCAGGGCCAGTCCCTAGCACTGGCCTGCAGCAGCCGAGGCAGGCTGGGCCGTACCAGGTCGTACTCCTTGGGGACCTTGAGCAGCAGGGTGCGGCAGCCATGGGTGCTGGACAGGATGAGGTGGACCTGCTGCGGGGGCTGCAGCTGCACGGTGCGCAGCACAGACAGTCGGCTGTCCAGGACCTGCAGATTCCTGTCCGGGAGCAGCTGGACGGTGACGGGATAGCTCCTCTCCTTGGGGCCTGGCCACTCCATCGCTGGGGTGGGGACAGTTGGGCAGCGACTGAGCCCCGAAGCCAGCTTCCTCCGTGTCCTCCTCAAGCCCATCTCCCTTCCTCCGTCGGCCCTCAGCCTCGGCTCACCCATCACTCCGCCTTTGATTGCTGCCTTCTTCATACTCTCTTTGCCTTGCCTTTGCAGCCTCTTGCGCTGTCGGTTCCGGGAATGGGCAATCACCCCAGCGACGACCAGACTCACTGCAGGGTACCAGAGGCCGGTGGGGAGGAGAACTCGCCTTCCGGCCTTCTCTTCCCGGGCCCCTCCCCAGCCTGCCCTGGAACTGGACCTGGGAGGAGGCTCCGCAGGCCAGCAGGTCTCGGGGAGGTGGAGGCCAGAAGAGGGGAGGCGGGGCGGGGGTGAGATGCTCACCTAGCGGGAAGCAGCAGAGGGCAATGATGACCAGGCTATACCCTGCGCTGCTGCCCTCGAAGAAGTCAATCACAGTGAGGGGCACGCAGCGGGGCAGGCCTTCTGTGGTGAGCTGCTTCGGCTGTACACAGGGGCCCCCTGCGGGACAGGGTGGAGAGGCCCGAGTCTAAAGGTGCTGCTCCTTGGGCAGCCCCGTCCTTTGTCCCGCAGAGTACCACGTGTCCTCCACTCTCCCCAGCCGGCATCCCTGACTCCCTAACTGGCTCCTCCTATCAGTCCCCCTCCTTGTCCCATCTCCCAGCATTTTCCCAGCCCGCCTGTCCTGGAGCTGCCCTGTCCACACTGCAGGGACCGGCCTAACGCTGGCCTCCCCGGCTGGGCTGACCACTGTCCCCGTGGGGTCTCAGGCCACTCACCTTCTTGCCAGACAAAGACGTTGGGCTGCAGGGACCCTGCATTCAACCCAGTGACAGTGACCAGCACGTCCCGCAGGCTGGTGTTTCTGATTTCCGAAATCTCTTCCTCAGAGAACAGCCTGGGGTGGGGAGGGAGGGGATTTAGGCCTCCACCAACCCAGGTCCAAGCAGCTGGATGTGAAGACCCAGAGCGGGAGGGAAGGGTGTGGGGCCTGCGGCCTTACCCATTCCTGCTGTTCTCAAACCAGTAGCGGTCGCCATCCCTAAGCCGCACAAACTGGCTGAGAACGATGGTGCTGAACAGGGGTCCGGGGTCCCCATGACTCTCCAGGAGCCCCCCCAGGAGCAGCTCCAGGCGGGACAGGTCCTGGTGGTACAGACCGGCTGTGGCCTCCAGCACCTGGGACCGTGGGCAGTAACAAGTGTGTGTTTGCGTGTGTGTTGTGTGTACGTGCATAGCCACTGAGACACAGGGAGCCCTTGGGGTGGTCACACATCTGCTAGGAGGATGAGTGTGTCTCTGCCGTGGCGAGGCCACTGTCAGGTGCCCAGGATCACATCCCATGCCCACCACTACCCAGTGCCTGGCCTCAGTGACTAGCAGCTCTGGGGCCCCCAGGAGCTGGACAGTGGCAGCTGCCCAGAGGTGACTCAACAGTGGGACAGCGGAGCTATTAGGGACGTCACACAGTGACACGGGGACGCTGCTGGTCTGCCTTATGCCATTCCCATGTGGATAATCGAGTTAACATGGAAGGAGTCGGAATAGCACTGGCACAGCAAAGCTTCAGCTGCCACCATCGCCCCTACAATTCCTGACCTGGGGGTCCACGAAGGGGCTGAGGTCACTCCAGTTCTTCGGGGGCTGCAGCCCGAGGGCCTGCAGGGCCTGGGTGTAGCTGGGCAAGCCCATATCGCGGCCTTGCTGGATGCTGCTGGCCACGTAGTCTGTGCGGGAGTACTTGCCAGAGCCAGGCCAGTAATCTGGGAGGGAGAGAATGGCTGAGGGCTGTCCCGCCGGCCCCAGTGTCCAGTGCTCGGGCACTGCCCCAGCCGCTGCACTCTTCCGTGAGACCTGTGCCTGTCTCAACCTTGCCTTGGTGTGAGGCCCACATCGCCAGTGTCACCACAGCCAGTTTCTCTGACAAGACCGTTTCTCTATGATTCAAGATGGTTCTCGGCACCAAGCAGAAAATGTTCCACCTTGTGCCCCCTACCCTTGAGATGGGACTGGGTGAAAACCTCTGAAGACCTCACTAGGCCCCAAAGACACTGAGGTGCTCCATCCTCCCCCACTCAGACACTTGCTCTTGACTTAAGAACAACACAAAACCGGAAAGGAAGAAAGAAGCCTCCACACTCCCTTTCTTTCTAATGGCTGCGGACGTCCGTGTGGGTATTTTCGTCCCCGCTTCCTAGGGACCCCAGCTCTGCACTCTGATGACCCGAAGGGCCCCCGGGCTCCCAGCCCCAGCCCCATGCCATCTTGCTCTGAGCTCACCCCTCAGATCTTCCACGATGATTCTGTCTTCCCTCTCCGAAATCTGGGAGGCCATTCCCAGCAGCAGCTCATTTACTTCTTCCGCACTATTCAAATTCGGGTTCTGAAAATAAACAGCACATTCAAGATAGGCTTTCAGTCCCCCTCCCAAGATCAGACTCTCTCACCCCAGACTGGTGCACCTAGGACAAGGGGCCCTTGGCCAGTCCAAGTCTTTCCCTCTCTCTGAAAAGAGTCTTGCTGTGTTGCTCAGGCTAACCTTGAACCCCTGCACTCAAGGGATCCTCCTGCCTCAGCCTCCTGAGTGGCTGGGAGTGTGTGACTCCTACAGTGTGTAACCACCACACTCTGCTATTCCCAGACTCTCCTAAGCATTTGTCCGCAGATAGTTTTCTCTGCCCTTCATCTCCTACCAATGGGTGGCAGCAACAACCAAGAACCAAGATTTCTGCTTTCCACTGTGTGAAGACACCCACCTGGACCCATCCCACCGGACCCTGGCCCTGACCCCGGCTGACCTCCCGACTCCAGTAGCTGTTGCAGACCCTGAGAGCTGGAGAGCTGTGGAAACCCTCGCTCAGGACCTTCCGGAAGTGGCAGGTGGCATTTCTGCAGTGCAGATGGGGGACAAGGTGAGGGAATCCAGGAAGCTAAGATGGGAAGCTGAGAGGGGCTGAGAAGGGCGTGGCCAGGGTTGAGGGGTGGTCCCTGAACTTCTCTGAGTGTACAGGGATTTGGGGGTGTATTTTACTGGAGGCAGAGTGAGCTGTTTGTCTAGTGTGGGGAGGGAGAGACGCGGGGAGGGTACCCACGAACACAACACTCAGCGATCCAAATTCTTTTTTTAGTTTTTTTTGGTACTGGGGATCGAACTCCTTGCACTTGTGCAGCAGGCGGCGAAACCACTGAGCCAGATCCTCGGCCCCCAAATTCTGACATTAGGAAAGCTAGTGAGTTTCCATATCAAGACCAAACCTCGCACCCTAGGGTGATGTTTTTGGCCCTCAAAGTCGGCTCCCCCCCCAACTGAAAGGTGGAAGAGGTCTGTGAAAGGCCCCAGGGCACAAGGCCACTGGTTATCATTTCCACTGGCGCCAGCCCCTCCACACCTCATGTACACTCCGGGCGGTACCATGGTGGAGAAGAACTGCTCCGAGGCCACCACGAACTCCGGGGAGACGCTGGGGTCCAGGAACGCCCGGTAACCTGGGGCGCGGGAAACAGGGCACACGAGGGGGCCTTGAGACACCCGGGCCAGCAGCCTCCCCCCCTCCCGCAAGCCTCTCTCCTCCTTGGCCACCCCTCACCTTCATACTTTGGGGGTGTCTTCCCCAGGAAGCTGGGCAGCCACTCGTACATAGCAATGCTCTGTGGGTCACAGAGGGGACAGAGGAGCAGGGTGGCGCCGGCTGGGCAGGGGGAGCTGGCGTGCGCACCCCGGAGGAACTTCACACAGAAACTGGGGGGGCCCCAGGAACCACAGGATGGGGCGGGGTCCTTCATAACAACCACGGCGAAGTCTCTCCCGTGAGCAGCCCGGGCCTCCCAATCGCGCCCAGGAGGAGGCGCCCCCGCCCCGCCCCGTGTTCTGGCGGCCGCGCGATGGGGCCGACGGGGCCGAGGCGGCGCGGACCTGGTAGGTGGCGACGACCCTCTTGCGCGCGTGCTGGAACAGCTCCTCGTCGCCCCAGCGCGGGTGGTCCCGAGCCAACCGGTCCGCCCACCAGTTGTGGAAGCGGAACCACAGCAGGCCCAGCGCCTGCACGAAGGGGTCGCGGTTGCCGCGCTCGGCCCCGAAGGCTGCGGGACGCGGGGGCGCGGTGAGCGGAGCGGCCGCGGGGGGCGCCCCATCCTCCCGCTCCCCCCGCCCCCGCCCGCGCCCCCGCACCGTACAGCCCCCGGGGCCCGCCCTGGCCCGTGGCGGGGTCCGGCGCCGTCCACATGAGCAGGGTGTCCTGCGACTCGCGCGGGAAGGCGGGGTCGCGCCCCGACGCCAGCCGCCCCCCGGAGAAGCTGCGCAGCGCGTCGCTCCACGAGTGCGACGACCCGTAGATGGCGCTGCCGTCCAGCCAGCCGGTCACCTGGTTGGTCTGGAGACGCGGGCCGGGGGTCAGGGAGGCCGGGCGCCCCGGGGCCCCACCCCGCCCCGCCCTGCCCCGGCCCGGCCCGGCCCTCACCGGGTCCCTGGGGTTGCTGGGGCTGCGTCCGGTCTCGGGGTCCCAGCGGCTCCTCTGGAAAGGCAGCACGACGTCCCCGCGGCGGTCGGGGTCGAACACGGGGTCTCCGGGCGGGATGTGGATGTTGAGGAACTCGGCGGGGCAGCCGGGGGTCTCCACGCTCACCACGTCCGACAGCACGTGGTAGCCTGCGGGCGCGTCGGGCACAGACTGGTGGGTTGGTGGCCCCGCCCCGCAGAGCCAGCGTAGTTCCCAGGAGTCAAAAGACCGAGGGCTAGTGCAAGGACCGGCCCCAGGGCTGCTGCTTAGTCCCAGTCAGCCTTGAATTTATAGTTTGCAAAATGAGAATATAACATCCCCTCATCCTTCTCAGAAGGTTGTCATGAAGATCAAATGATACAGTCAAAGCAAAGGTTCCCCCTTTCAGTCCCCCACTGTGGGGCAAAGTGGTAAAGGAAGGAGGTAGCTCAAAACTTGGTCCCTAAGAGGTACAACGGGGGTCCTGTGGCGCCCTCTGGTTTGAAGTAAATGATAAGAAAAGACCAGGGGAGCAAATACTCCTGCACTAACACCTCAAATCTTTCCGAGATGAAGGCAGGCTGCTGGGAGGGGAGAAAGTGGTCGGGAATCTCGACTAGGTCCCAGGCGCAGCGCGGAGCACCTGCTAGGCCTCAGCGTCGCCTTTTGCCCCAAAGGCGACCCCCAGCTGCACCCCTACGGCCTGTGCCTTTGCACTCACCGAAGAAGACGCCCAGCACCGTGCGGTTGCGGAGCGAAGCCAGCCCGGGGCGGCCCTGCGTGGCGGCGTCGCTGAGCCTGCGCGGGTTGGGCAGCAGGGGCTCCTCTAGGGCCTGGTACACGCCGTCGGCGTAGCTGGCCGGCACGAGGCGCTGCAGCCGCGAGCCTGCAGGCGGCGGGGAGTCGGGTTCGCTCAGGGCGCTGGATCCCCAACAATACGTACTCGTAACCGTCTGCCTCCCTGTGGACCAGCTTTACCGATCCCCGCCCCAGGGGTGCGTAAGAGCGGGGCGCCCGGCAGTCGGGCTGCGTGTTGCCTGCGCCCTCCCCTGGTTCTGCACGCGGGGTGTGTGGGACACACGTACCCACAGCGCCACTCTCGTGGTGCCTGAGGTTGTTGAACCAGCCGTCGTAGCGCTGCACTTCCCAGGGCAGCGAGAGCGCGTCCTGGCCACCTGTGGGCAGAGTCCGCTCTGAGCGCGCATCCCAGACGCCCCCCCGCCCCCGCGTCCGTCCCCCTCCGCATGCCCGACTCCAGTGACAACACGGTGTCAAAGCTGCCCGGGGAAGTGTCCCATCCTGCTGACCTTTGCAGAGGTCTGGCCCACCTTCCAGCTTCAGGAGCCTCTTGCCTGCCCCTCTTCCTTGCACACCCCCGGGAGACAAGGGGTGACACCGCACAGCTAGGGTACCTGCTACTTACCCCCTGGGTCCAGGGATCCAGTCAGCAGCGCCCCCAGGAGCACCAGTGCCTGTGGTCTTGCTCGGACCATGCCGACACCGCAGCCTGGAGAGGGAGGTGAGGGACAGCGACTGTCCGAGGGCCGCCCCTGGAGGGGGGAGCCGGCTGTGTGAGCTCTGGGAGTAAAAGTGTTAGAAACATCACAGAGGCCCCGCATCCGGCCACCGCTCGTTCCAACACAGCAGAGGAAGTTTCCACCCGTCATTCACCCCATAGGCGTTGACCTTGACCACTGGACTCCTTGGGGGCACTTCCGTCACGGGCAGGACGGGCCCAGCCACCCAGGGTGCTGGCCCAAACCCTGGAACCCCCCACACCAATTCCTCGGCTTGGGCACTGCTTCTGCAGCAGGCGGCAGGGAGGGGGAAGAGACCAGGGAGCCAGGATCCGGGACCTGCAGCCCACCCACCCTTGGCTCTATGAGCGCCAGCACAGGAAGGGGAGGGCTAGAAAGGTCAGGTCCCAAACGGGTCCCACCTCGGTAGTTTGGACCCTTCTTTTGTAATCTTTGTTTCTCTGCTCCGCTTCTTGCCTGTATTCCACTTCTCGGATCCTCAGTGTTCCCGACTGCACCGGGACCTGCTCCCTGGGTCCTCAGTCTCACCGCTGCGTGGGTGTCACCTCCAGCAGACAGGGGCAGGTGTGAATATCTGCACCCGGGGCTTGCCCTCCTGCTGTAGAGGGAGGCCCTCATTTGCATATCACACCCCACCCCTCATTTGCATAACCTCTGCCAGGCTGGGACCCTGGGACTTGACTCGACAAGAGCCCTGCTTGCTGCCGTGAGCCTATAAAAGGGGTCTGGGTCTCCCGCCAGCTGGCACAGCCAGGAAAGTAGCTGGCCACTGCACTGAGAAATAATTCCGCTTGGTGGCTCACCCCAGAGCGCTCCAGGACAGCCAGACTTCGCTTCCTTAGTGGCACAGACTCGACCACCCTCTTTGGTCTCGGGACCCCCAACTTGCTGGACCCGTCGCAAGATGACTCTGTGGAACGGGGTGCTACCCTTTTACCCCCAGCCACAGCGCGCTGCAGGCTTCAGCGTCCCGCTGCTCATCGTCATTGTGGTGTTCTGCGCCCTCGCCGGCAGCTTCCTGCTCATCCTGCCTGGGATCCGGGGCCACTCGGTAAGGGGCTGCTGGAAGCTCGGAGTGGGGTGTGCGCATCGTGGGCAGCAGTCTCCAGGGCAGAATGAGGAAGGGTCTCCATGAAGTCAAACCGAGGGTCAGGAGGAGCAAATTCCAGGGTGTTGGTGCAGCAGGCACCACCCCCCATCCGCCCCATCCAAGATATCCTGGAGTGGGACCCTGGATGAACAATGCCAAGCTGCTGCAGAAAGGGCATGCGGTCAGTGCTGCAGGGGCCTCCTGCCTCCCTAGGGACTGCAAGTGGACTCCTGTCCTGCCCTCTGCATGGAGTGCCAACCTTGGGGACCAGAGGACAGGTGCCAGCAGCACAGATGCTATCTCCCCTTGGCGCTGGGGTGATGAAATGTGTAGGGTGCCCCCCCATCTAGTCTTCCCACGTCTTGAATTTTTTTTGGTACCGAGGATCGAACTTGTGACCTTGCGCTTTCGGGGCGGGCGGCGGCACCACTGAGCTAAGTCCCAGGCCCCACGTCTTGATTTTTGTTAGTTTCCCAGGGAACAGGTGCGACTGAGCCTCTCAGCATTTCCACCTCCTCTACTTGGCCTCCAGGCTCCCTCTTCTGGGGGAGGTGACCCCTGCCTCCCCAGCACTTCTGGACTCACTGAGGCAGTGACTGGATTAGGAGGGAAGGGGGCAGGCGCCACACGGCGGCGGGAGGGAAGGAGCCTGGAGTTTGCCAGGCCGGGTGGACCTGGAAATGAGGCTGGGGAGGTCGAAGTGCAGGACCGGAAAACATCTGAAATGTCAGTGGCTCCGGGGACCTTCAGGAAGAACACACCTGACATCAGCCTGGAAAGGTCAGGAGTGCAATCAGACTGAGGTGGAGTGGAGTCAAGAGGTCTTGCTTGGGCTGGTCGGGCTGAGCCCAGCCTGACCTGAACCGCTCTTCCTGCAGCGCTGGTTCTGGTTGGCGAGAGTGCTGCTCAGTCTGTTCATAGGGGGAGAAATTGTGGGTGAGTGTGTGGTGCCTCCCGGGGAGGAAGTGGGGTCGGGAGGGAGGAGGTGGGCAGACGGCCCCCGGGAAAGTAGGAAAGTGGGAGTGGTTTCTGCCACCTTTTCCCACCTCGTATGCTGCTCTTTCCTGGGCCCCTGGCCCTCCTCCTCAGCATTCTCTGCCCTCTCCAATCCCACTTGCCAGCGCCATCTCCCCCGCGCTTCTTCCACAGCTGTGCACTTCAGTGGGGAGTGGTTCGTGGGCAGCGTGTGGACCAACACGTCCTACAAAGCCTTCAGTGCCGAGCATGTTCAAGCCCGCGTTGGCCTGAGTGTGGGCCTGGTAGGCATTAATATTACACTGAAAGGTGAGGGCCAAGTGAATTCCCGGGCCTGGGCGATCCCACGGTCGGGGCAGAGGGGAACTCGAGGACCTTTCTCACCCTCGGCTCCAAAAGCACTTGGTCTCCGTGGGTTTGGGTTTTCCCCAACCACCACCAAACCCATCCCCACTGCCACTTGCCCTGTCTGAACCGGCTCAGTTTCCGGGTTGCTGGCCTTGAACAACCTCAAGACCTTCGACGTCCCCCGCAGGGACTCCAGTGCAGCAGCTGAACGAGACCATTGACTACAACGAGCAGTTCACCTGGCGTCTGAACGAAGACTACCACCGCGAGTACGTGCGCGCGCTGCAGAAGGGGCTGCCGGACCCGGTGCTGTACCTGGCCGAGAAGTTCACGCCCAGCAGCCCCTGCGGGCTGTACCACCAGTACCACCTGGCCGGACACTACGCCGCGGCCACGCTGTGGTGAGCGCGGGGCGCGGGATGGGGTGCGCCGAGCGGGGCACGGAGGCCCCCGGCTCCGTGCGCTGGCCCTAGGGGGCGCGCGGGCTTGGAGCGCGCTAGGGTCTGCACGGACTGTGGGGGCCCGGAGCTCCACTCCAGACTCGGGCCGAGCGAGGCGGCGGGAGCCCCGTCGAGCCCGCAGCGTCCGGCTCACGCCCCCCGCGCGTCCCCGCAGGGTGGCGTTCTGCTTCTGGGTCCTCGCCAACGCGCTGCTCTCCATGCCCGCCCCGCTCTACGGGGGCCTGGCGCTCTTGGTCACTGGCGCTTTCGCACTCTTCGCCGTCTTCTCCTTCGCCTCGGTCTCCAGCGTGCCCCTGTGCCCGTTCCGCCTCGGCTCCGCTGCGCTCACGCCTGGCTACGGAGCCGCCTTCTGGATCACGCTGGCTACGGGTGAGGGCAGGGCTGGGCGCGCGCGGCCGGGAGCGTGCGCTTTGCAGTCCACAAAGAGACCACCGACGCTTCGGTAGTTCAGAAGGCAGAGGGTCAATGGCTTTTGGTTAGTCTGGTTTGCTTTGGTTTTTGAGGCAGGGTCTTGCTATGTAGTACAGGCTGGTCTCGAACTCGCGGCGCCCCGCTTCAGCCTCCGGAGCCCTGGGATCACAGATGTGTGCCACCACAGATAGAGGCACGGTTACGCCCATCTCACAGATAGAGGGGGCTCCGAAGGGCTCGGCGTCTTGCCCCGTTGGCGAGAGAAGGCGTGCATCCTGCAATCCGCAGAGGTCTTTTTGCAGTGGGCGCGTGCGCGGGCCGAGGGTTTGGGGAGGAAACTCGAGGAGGCGCCTCCACAGGAGGCAGACCCAGCCCCGGCTCTGGCCTGGAGCCCTGACCGCCGGACTTTCCGTCCCCGCAGGCATCCTGTGCCTGCTGCTCGGTGCGGCCGTGGTGCTTCTCCACTATGCCTGGCCCAGCTCCCTTCGCGCCGTGCTAGACCAGAGCGCCCCGGACTGCTGCGGCCTGGCGACGGCGGGCTCGCCCGTCATCCTCAGCAACCCGCTGCACCCACAGTTCGCGCCCCCGGACTTCAAGATCACCACAAAACTGTGAAGGGCGCCCACCTCTGGACTCTTCCCCGCCGGGGGACCTGGCGCGCCTGCAGGCAGTGGGCGGGGCACCCCAGGGACTCCGTGCGCCCCAAGCGATGGAAACCCCCCGGGGACGCGGCGCTGTGCACGCTGGAGCGAGCTGTAAATAAACTTTCTTCTTTTGTTTTAAAAAACTTCCCCCGCCCATTAATTTCCATACTTTTTCCGGGTTCGGCGCCACACACGCCCGAGGGAGGCTTCACTGGGCCGGGACGGCCCACTTCTGTGTCCTGAGCCGGTTCCTTGCGCTGGAGAAACCCGAGACCCAGACAGGCTCTGGAGGGGCGCCCTCTAGTGACGCCGGGGTGGAAACGACCCCGAGCAGCCGGGGTGGGAGGTGGGGGTGGGGGACTCAGTGACCTGGCAGGTCACCCTTCCGCTCACCCGGGGTCCCCTTGGCCATTCTGCCGCATGGACTGGGAAGAAAGGGGGTTTGGGAGTCGATTCACTAACGCTTCCCGGTTGTCTTCTTTTGGAGTAGTGTCTGGGGCCGAGGTAGATGTCAGCAAGGCAGAACAATAAATTGAGGACTTTATTTTCTTAAAGGTCATGGCAGATCCTACAGTCTTACGGAGTATATTTGGGACCTGAAGATCAAAGAGAATGTGGCACGGCTGGTTAATGCTGGAGCTGGGATGAGCTGGCTGGTGGTCTCGTCCAGTGCAGACCAAGAGGACACACACACACACACACACACACACACACACACACACACACACGCCCCCCAAGGGGTGCACAGGGTCAGGTCTGTGGGAGAATCGCACTGTGACTTATGTCTGAGCAGTGCTGGGTCTCAGCAAATGGCACCCAGAGGAGGCCCAGCACCCGGGAAAGAGGAGGGTGCTGGGCAGAAACAGGCTTGCGGCTTTAGGGGTTCCAGGGCACCGAAGGGCTTCTGGGTTGGTTCTCTCTGGCATCAGGAGGTGAGGCCTCCTTTAACTCTCCCACCTGCTCTGGGAGCTGAGGATCTGCTGCAGCTCCAGCCGGCGCTCAGCGGCTTGGTGCCTTTGTGGAGCTCCATGAGAAGGCGCCTATCGAGACAGGGACTAGAGGGCACAGTTGGGCTCTCTGGGGGGCTCCTCCCGACAGCAGGCCTCTGAGGAAGCCGGCGAGAGAGGAATGTCTGGGGGCGCAGGGCTCTCAGCCATGGACCGATAGCGCGGACTCAGTAGCCCCCCTTCCTCGGGATTCCACTCGAGCTTGGGGTCCTCCGGGCTCTGGTTGAAGAAGGCCTTCAGCCTGTGGGGCTGCATCCTGTGGGCCAGCGCCATGAGCAGGCCCAGCAGCAAGCACAGCAGTCCTGGGGACGAGGGCGGCAGGTGTCCACCTTAGTCTGATGGGGCCCCGGAAGCAGAGCCTTGGCCCACCCGTGCTCTGGGCCCCGGTCCTTGCTCTCAAGGTAGGTCTCACCTGTGGCCAGTGTGATCCAGAAGGCAGGCCCGAGGTGGGTGTGCAGCTCCACCGTGCCCAGGTGCAGGGGACAGGGCGGTGTGAGCAACGTGGCCGTGGAGAAGAAGAACAGCGCCAGCAGCTGGAAGGTGCCCGTGGCCAGCAGCATGTGGCCGCCATAGAGCAGCACGGGCATGGACAGCATCACGTTGGCCAGCAGCCAGCAGAGGAAGGCGACCCTGGGAAGGAAGCAGAGCCTTGAGGACCTGCCCAGGACCTCCACCCCCCCGCAGGTGAGGCCATGTGGGGTCTCCTGCCATGGGCTTCCCAGCCAGGACCATGGCAGCTGATGCAGCCCTTCCCGTTCTGAACAGCCACATGTACCTGAGGCCTCTGCACTCACCACAGCATGGCGGAGGCATAGTGTCCTGCCAGGCGGTACCGGTTGTACAGGCCACATGGGCTGTGCGGAGTGAACTTCTCGGCCAGGTACAGGACAGGGTCTGGCAGCCCCTTCCTCAGGGCCCTTGCGTACTCCTCGGCATAGTCTTTGCCCAGGTGCCAAGTGAACTCCTCATTGTACGCTATGGTCTCATTCAGCTGGTGCACTGGGGTCCCTGGGGGAAGCGTGGCTGTGCTCGGTAGGGACCCCTGGGCTGCAGCGGGTCATTTGCACACACACTGACGCCCACAGAGTCCTCTAACCCCAGGCCCAGGCACGTTGCAGCCTTTTGGACCCTGTGAAAGTAGCTTCCGAAAACAGAGCAGAGCCCCTCCCTCCCAGGCCAGAGCCCCCTCACCTGTGAGCGTGATGTTGACCCCTCCCAGGCCGACCTGCAGCCCCACATCGGCGCTGATCCGCTCGGGGCTGAAGGCTTTGTAGGTGGTGTCCGTGCTGACCTGGGCCACTGACCACTCAGAGCTGAAATTCACGGCTGGGGTGGGGGAGTGGAACACGGCGGACTCATGGAGGGCTGGGCTGCTGGGGTGGCCAGGACAGCCCCAGACGTGCATGCCTGGACTGGTCACCCACTAGCCAGGCTCGTAGGAGCCCTGCCGAGCACTGGTGTGCGATGGAGAAACTGGTCGGAATCCCAGATCTCCCTCGCTCACCCTCTCCTCACCTCTGATATACACCCTGAGGGAGGAAGCGCTGGGATAAATTCGAGGGGCAAGCGCGGCTTCAGCACGGACACCTATCTCTCCAGGATCCCCAATCACCGAAGCCTAGCAAGCAGCCCCCCCATTTCCTCCACTCCTGTCCCGGGACCTTCTGCCAGAAGTTGTGATGCTCAAAATAAAAATGTCCTGAGGGCTGTGGAGATGTATCCAGCAGGGTCCCCCAGGCAGCCCCTCTTTGGGTAGGACCAGGGAGTCACCATGAAGCAGGGGTCGCTGTGGGGACATGAGGAGTAGCAGAGGCTGGCACTCACCCAGGGTCACAGCCCCGATGAACAAGCTGGTCACCACCCGCAGCAGCCAGAAGAGCCTCTGAGTCACGGGGAGGGGGTTAGGAAGCAGCGCCCTCCTCCCGCGCCCTCCCCCCTTTTCCATGCTGGGCTGGAGGTGGGGATTCTATGAGTGAGGCCACTTGTTCCTGGTGATCGGGGTTTGCCACCTACCAGGTGCTCAGCAGTGACCTGTTGAATCGATCCATGAGTGGGGATCCCTCTGCTGGGAGTGGGACACTGGGGTCTCTTCCCTGAGCCTCTTTGCAGACTAGCTCTGGACCCCTCACTCTGAGGCTGAGGTCCCTCGGGCTGGGGTCTGCAGGTCTGGGTTTGTTTCTTACCGTCTTGCCCCGAATGCCAGGCAGGATGACGATAAAGGTGACCAAGGCAGTCAGAAAGATGGTGATGATGACGGCCAGGGTGGTGTCCATCGGGAAGGTTGGCTTGGGGCCGGTGTAGAAGGGGAATGTGTGTCCAAAAGCAGCCATTGCGGTGGCGGTGTGCCCGGAGGCAGTGCTGTACAATGACATCGAGTGGGTTGAGCGCCCTGTATCTACCAGGCGCTGTCATGGTGCTGGAGATGCAGCCAGAACAAACCAGCTCAAGCTCTGTCTCTGGAATGTACCCTTCAGCATCTTGCCAGACTCCTCCTCGACTACCCTCAGCCATGCCTCCATCTCGCCACCTTCTGGCCTGGCGGAATTAGGGCTTTAGCAATCGGTCTCTGCCTCCTGAGCTCCCTTCCTAACCCACAGCCCTCTACATTGGTGCAGTCCAGACCCTCGAGGCCACTGTTTCCTCTGGGATCATCTTAAGAGATAAAATTCTCTTTTATTCCCCTGGGCCTCTCGCAGAAGCAGACAGATTGCAGAACGTAAAAAGCCCTAGATTTACTATCAAGGGGAGGCATGAGGGTAGAAGGAGGTACAGATTACAGAGCGATTGGCCCCAAAGGAACAAAGGCCAAACAGCTCTGGCTGTATCATCAGAGGACAGATTCCCAGGCTGGCACTGCCCACATCAGTCTGTCCAGCTTTCTCAGATGCCCTGGCTCCTGTTCTGGTGACCCCAGGACAACTGAACTGAATTCACCTGAATAATTGCTCAAGGGTCACCTGCCCTCCACCAGCGGGGTGCTGGGCAGATGTCTTCTATTCCACCGGTCTCTATCCAGATACCCAGGCCTTATTTCAGCTCCAGCACTGGCTTTGCACTCCTCTGCCCATCCTCTAGGCTCAGAGCTTATTAAACTCTAGCTTGTCCCTTTGGAGATAAGATATTGGGCAACGGTACCTGAACTTGCTGTGTTCAGTTAGATCTCAGAACTGGCTGTGAGCCACGCTCTTACTGTATGTGGTACCAAAAAAAGGAGGGGGGGAAGGTACCACCAATTAAAGCATGACAGCCACTGTTGGCAAGACACACATCGATTTCATAGACGTCAATGTGTTTGAAACAAACAAAGCATCTTAGAAGTTAAGTTCTGCTCATGTTTCTGAGTGTAATCCGCATTGGGGTCTCAACCCAGGAAGCCCCGTAGTTTAGTCTGCTGATGCTGATGAAAAGAATAAACCTTGGAGTCAAGCAGCTCCAAAGGATTTGAATTCTGCCTTTGCTTCTTCCAACTTCCTTGACTTCTACAGAGACCTGGTTTTACTGGAAAAGACATAATGTCTTGCTCACAGGGTCACTGAGGAGGATGGGATTGTGTACATGAAGTACCAAGAGCAGTCCCGAAACTAGAAGCTACTGAGCCGGAAGAAGGGGGCATTTCAATACTCCACTTATATACGCCTGCAATCTATGCCTGCCCTCAGTGCTGGCTCTAGTTCCAGGTCTCAGTGACTGACATCATAACCCTGGGCAGGTGACAGTGTCCTTAGTCTATGGTTTCCTCCTCTGTCCTGGATATGATGCTCTCCAGGTCCCTTCCAGTTCAAATGCTGGGATTCAGCTCTCCCTCCCCGGAGAATGGGCCGCTCCTTTCTCTCCAATTGGGCAAATCCAATCTCCTGGGCTCCACCTCACACCTGCCTGGCTTCTCCACCACCTCCGTCACTGGTGACCCCCGTCCCCTTGGCATTCCCCAGCTCTTTTTTGTCGTCTGGCTCCTCCCAAACGCATGTTCAAATTTCTCCCATTTTAAGACAAAGGATATATGCGCACCCATGTTTATAATGGCACGGTTTGTAATAGCTAAAGCTTGGAAACAGCCCAAGTGCCCATCAACTGGAGACTGGATAAAGAACGTGTGGTTTTTCTATAAAATGGAGTACTACTCAGCCATAAAGAATGAGAAATTAGAGACTTTTATAGCTAAATGGATGCACATTGAGGAGTTTCTCTTAAGTGAAATAAATAGGACACATATGTGTAAATACAGAATAGTTTCTCTAGTGTGAGAAACTAAAAGTGTAAATAAGGTTCAAATGGTATAACTGATAGTGTGAAATAGGAAGAAAAGGTCCAAAGGGGTAGGGGAAGTGCGAGCGGTAGAGAAAAGGAAAGAAGGGAAAAGAAAAAATATGAGAAAAGGAAAAAATGGAAACAAAGTCTTTGTAAATAAGAAAGGGTGGAGGGGGTGAAGGGAGGGCAGGGGAAGGGGAAAAAAATAAGAACCAAGATACTCATGTAAAGGTACAAGATCCCAGTGACGAATGTAACTGTATTGTAGACCTAAAATGTGTCAATAAACTTAATGGGGAAAAAGACAAAGGAGACCTCTTTTGATCTCCAGGTCCCCTCCACTGTACCCCATCCTGTTCACAGCCAGGCTTTTTGAAAGAATAGTCTATGCTGGTGCTTCTCTGCTTTACCCTAACACACTGCGATCTAACCTGCCGTCATCCCTGCTTTCTCTGTGATGCCACTAAGTGAACACTCCAAAGCAGAATCCTGACTTTTCACCTTTCTTGAACTTTCTGTGCTGTGTGAGCCTGCAGAACACACCCTCTGTGCTCATTTTTTAGTCCCTCGATCTCCATGACATCATGCTTTCCTGGGTCCCCGACCTTTAACCATCTCTTTCCCAGCTCCTCTCCAAGTTCTTCTTCCCTATTAAATGCTTGTGCTCCCTGGGATTTTGTTTCAGCTTTCTTCTTTTCACACTGTTCAAGAATCCCTGGGCAATCGCAGCCATTCCAGGGGGTGGTAGTCCTCACAAGTACCCCTGGACTCCAGTATCTAAAGGGCCAACCACCTCGTGGATATTTTCACTTGGATATTCCCACCCAGCACTGTAAAATGATATAATAATGATAACAACAACACAGGTCTCAAATGGAATTCACTGTCCTCATTGTTTTTGATTCTATTTTCTTTGTCTCTTTGGCAGCACCACCATTTAACAGTCAAGTAAGCCAGAACCAGGACTATCTTACCTCTTAACTATTTCTTGAAATTATTCACACATTTCTTTCTGAACTACCTCTGTGCTAATTTGGCTTCATCCTCTCTTACCTGGTGCCCGAATAAATTTTCTAATAACTAAATATAATCATTTCACTTCTCTGCCTGGGTCAAATCTAATCCTCCAGGGTCAGATATGGGTGCTTTGTGATCTGCCTCCTCTCCCCTTTGCTCCATCTCTGTCTCCATTGCCTGGCCTGACCTAGGGCCACCCTGCCGCTCCCTGAATCCGACATGCTCCTTCAAGCCTTCTTCAAGGTGTTGTGTGCGTTACCTCCTCTGCCTGGAATGCGCTCACCCCTTGCCCTCACCTCTGCTCACTCCAAGTCCCAGCTTGTTTTCTCTTGTCTGTGACTTCCTCTGATGCCACTGGTCCAAGGCGGATGTTCCCTACTCTAACATTCTAATTGGGTTTTGAGCGTGTCTCCCAGATCATGACAATTATACTGTACTCTAATTGGTGAACATTGTCTCCTTGTTAGGCTGTGATCTCTTTGAGGCCAAGTACTTAATCTTTCCCATCTTTGCCTCCCTGGCTAGTCGCATATACCAATCAGGCTCGGGATCCTATGAATATAAATTTCTTTCCACAGGTGGCTGCTTCTGATTTCTCCCACAAGAGGGAGCACTACCTTATACAATAATCTGATTGTTTTGTACAATAATCTCCCTCAACATTAATTGAGTATCCCCAGTATAGGGCTAAGGACTGGACAAGATTCCAGTCCTTAGGATTCGACTAATCTTCTCAACTTTTAGTGATTTAAAAAAATTGTTTTAGAAAGCCATTTCCAAGAGTTGGAGTCTCCCAAACTAGCAAAGTCACAAGAAAGAATGTTCATGTTTAAGTGAATCTGAAAAATACATGTCAACCCTAGCTAAAGACAACTAAGAATTTGTGTATTATTTTGTAAAACATGTGATAGTGACACTTATTTTATTTTATTTATTATTATTATTATTATTATTTTGGTACCTCGGATCAAACTTGGGACCTTGCACTTGTGCGGCAGGTGCCGGAACCACTGAGCTAAATCCCTAGCCCTAGTGAAATTTATTTTAAAGCAGATGTCTACTGGCCTAAGAATTTTTTATTTATGACACCCAAGCCGCTATATTTTTTTTATGAAAAGTTATAGGAGGAAGGGCTATAAAATGTAGAATATCTTGGTGAATGACAGATAAAGCACGTCTGTTAATAGTAACTTTGTCATATGTTATAATTTCAGAAACAAATATTTGCAATGTAAGCAAATAACTAATAATGTAATGTTTTTGTCGGGATCACATATAAGTATTATTCCTGCATTTATCTTTTTTTTTTCTTTTGGTACCAGAGATCGAACTCAGGACCTTGTGCTTGTGAGGCAGGTGGTGGAACCACTGAGCTTAATCCCTGGCCCCCCTGCATTTATCTTAATGAGAGGTTATACAAAATTTTATGACTGGCTTCTCACTATTAATGTGCTTCAAAGAAACCCTAACAAAACATTTTCTATATCTGAAGTACAGAAGGACATTGTTAATATATTTCCAGTTCTCCAAAAATACTTATTAAAGATGACCAGAGCAAAAAAGGCAAAATTGGTGAATAAATTCTGGCTTTCTTAATCTCTTCTGGTTCACTTTCATGGTTTAGAATGTCCTTAACCTACATGGCCTAATTTGAAGTTAATTTTTTAGGGCCTCGGCTCTAACGTGGTTTTCATCATTAAGCTATAGGCTCCCTGCCTGAGGAGTGGGACTTGATGAGATGTCCTCACCCCCAGATCTCCTGCTTTTCTTACAAAGCTTGTGTTTTCCGGGCCCAGTTCCCCCCTGGTTTAACAAGTAGGGCTGACAGCGGAATGGGTTCTAATATGACAAAGATCTGAGTTAATTCAACTCACTTCTTCCCCAGCTCAGCGCCTCGACTGGTGTGGACACAGTTCAGACTGACACGGATGATGCAGGCACCAGTGAGTTTATACAAAGAGACGCAGACCGAGAAGGAAGCCCCCAGACTGCCGTGCTCAGCAAAACAGCCCCCTCCGCGTGTTGCTCCAGGACAGCCCCCCCGTGATGACGTTGGGGTGGTTTCTCACTGGGACGAGCCAACTCCCAGAGTTTGGGGTTCTTTCTCCCCACTTGGTCTGGGATGGGTCTGAGAGGAAGTGAAGCAAACTCAGCCTAGTGCAAGCTCCGGTCTTCATCACTGAGAGCACAGCCGTGTGCTTCAGTGCTGGTGGCCTCTCCTGCAGCCGAAGGGACCTTCTTCCTAAGGACTTCCTGCCTACTTCCCCCTCCTCCCGGCTCCATACAAGGAGTGCCAAGTCCCTAGGAAGGGGCTGGGTGATGTGCACTAATGGGTGATGCCTAGCTGCTGGAATGAAAAGGTTTATTCCTCTGGTCGGGGTAGACTCCATTAAAAGTTTACAGCTCTGGCCAGGCACAGTGGCACACATCTGCAATCCCAGCACTGCGGGAGGGTGAGGCAGGAGGATGGAAAATTTGAGATTCTTCCTCCAGGGCAATCTACCGAGATTCCGTCTCAAAAATACTCAGTAAATAAGAAAGGCTAGGGATATAGCTCAGTGGTAGAACGCCCTGGGTTTATACTGCACTAAAGGAACAATTAAGTGGAGAAAGAGAACAAGGTTTGAAAAGAATGTTAGACAGGACGCGGTGGGGAGCTCAGGGGGAGTCATGCAGTCCAGCCTTCCTAGGCTCCAGTTAAGAGAGGGTGAGATTCCGTGTCTGTAGCCCTGCGACCTCTGTGGTCTTAGGAGGCTCTCCCCGCCTTCATTTCTTCCCAAGCTTTGTCCTTCCAGAACTCCCCATCTGAGTTAGTGCTGGGTGGACCCCAGCCGTGCGCCCCTAGGGGTCGGCGCGGGAGCAGCGTTTCAAGGCCTCCTGCTAAGCCTGCTGACCACCGGGACCGCAGCCTCCTTACCTTCTCCTCTCCCGCGCCTGTTCCTGAGCGCCGCGCTCCCACGCCGGGATCCTGCGGGGGTGGAGAGACCTGATGCCAACATTCGGTCCCCGAAAGCGCCCGCAGCCTTTCTCCCTGAGGGGCTCCCCACCACCCCCTCTCTTCTCCCACTCCATGAAGGGCCAGGTCGTGGCCAGGTGCCATGCCCCCCAAGCTGCCTCGGACGGGTGGCTCGGGGCGCACGGACCGTGCTATTGCGTGGCCCCAGCACCCCGGGACCCCGCTCTCTGCCCTCAGCACCCCGGGACCCCCATTCTCTGCCCCCAGCATCCCGGGACCCCGCTCTCTGCTCCTCCTACACCCACGCCCAGCACCCGGGCCGGCCTAGCGCAACCCAGCTCTGCGGGTCCGGTCCGGCACGCGCGGCTCGCGGGGCGGTGACCCCGAGATCCCACCAGGACGGGGGGGCGGTGTCCCACGACGGCCGTGGCCGTGACGCCTGTCCGGCCCTTGGCGGGCGTGGCTGACCGCTGGTCGTGCAGCGCGGACCCGCAGCCGGCTGGGTGGAGTGGATCTGGGGCGCGCGGCCCCTCCGACCTGTCGAGGCGGACTCGCCCTTCGCTCCGCCCACGAGAAGGCCGCAAGAGCCAAACCCTCGGCGGGACGGGACGCGACGCCCCACCCGAGCCCTTCCCCTCGCGGCCCGGACCTTTGGCGGCCTCCACGGCGCCGGCTTCTACCAGCCCGGGTCCCAACCCTGCCCCCCCTCCCCGCGTCCCCCAATCCTCGAGGCGCCGTCGCCCCGCCCCCGACCACGCCCGGCCCGCTCGAAGCCGGAGAGGCGGTCGGAAGCTATCGGGCTCCCGAGCCCATTCAGGAGCCAGGCGGGAGCCAATCCGCAGGCCCGGAACAAAGCCAGCGACTAAGGTCAGGTCCTGGTGGGCCCGGTGCCGGCGGGGACGGGAGCTGCCGGGGCAGGCACCCAGGGAGAGAACCCCACCGCGGGCAGGTTTCTGAGGGAAGGGGTTCCGACCCTATCCTCAGGCTAAACTGGACCCTGTTGGCGCCCGTCGTCCACCCCATCACGGTTTGGGGAGACTGGGTGCTGCTGATCTTGGTAATGGGGGAGAGCTCGCCTCCCGGGTGTAGGGAGAATCTCCCCTGAAGAGCACAGCATGCCAGGGAGGGACTCTGGCTCCTGGGCCCAGCCTGTGCCCCTTGGGCCTCCCTAGAACACGTAGGAATCCCTATAGCTTTAGCTCATCTTCCTCTGACCCGGGCCTCCGGCTCTGGGTCGGGCTCTGGGTCAGGCTGGGGAAGTGAGCCACGTGGGGCAGGAGCCCTGAGGCCTGTGGCTTCCTGCCCTGCCTGGGGTTGAGCCTTCATTCCAAAGTTTTGGGAAACTTATGCCCCACGTTGCCTGGCAAATCAATAAGGACCCCACTCCCAAAGGATGACCCACCCCCTCCTCGACAAGCAGCCCCACACCTGGCGAGACAGCAGATGAACGGACACGCGGGTTTGGGGCCCAGGATCCAGAGGGATGACAGTGAGGGAGGGGAAGGACCGCCATGGCCACTTCAGCTCTCTGCAAATTGTCAAAGGCCAGCATCCGGAAGACTGTGCACGGACAGTGGAGCTCTGAGCTTTCAGGCTGTGACAGGACCTAGGCTTTTAAAATTTATTTAATAGGAGATGAGAAATAGGGTGGCATCCCGTCCATTCTGGGTTCTCTCCTCTGACGACTGTCCAGCAGCCCTGAAGAGTGGAGATCAGGCTTTCCCCGAGCCACCTGCTGCCTCTGTTCCCCTGATTTCCTGGGTTAGTTTGTTGGGCTGGGAGGGAGGTCACGGAGCCAGCCCTAAAACACGAGCATCTGGCCAGCAGCCCTCCTGAGTCTGCTCTGAGAACGACCTCCTGCCTGCTCTCTGTCACGCCTGCATGACACTGGTCTGTTTTGTTTTCCTCTGAATGCAGCCTCATTCTCACATGTGATTCTGGCATCGCACTGGGTGGTGAACAGTTCCAGTCCCATCAGATAAGTGGTTGGCCGAAGGTCCCATGTGTACTGGCCTGGTCTCCAGGCAGCTGTGCCAGAGCAAGGGTTGCCACCCAATCATCCAGCTCCGGAGCCTCTAGTACCTAATGAGTTCTCATTAAGTATTTGTTGGATGAATGAATGGATCTTGGGAGAAAGTAATTCTCTTGTTCTACTCCAGGCCCACCACAGCCTAGATTTGAAGAGACCTGCAGAGGCCTTGGCCTGATTCTCCTGAACAGCTGGCGGTCATCCTCTGTCCTCTTTCTCCAGGTGCCCATTCTGGGGATTCTAGCACCTGAGCCCCTCATCCCATCTTCATCATGGGCTTCCACCTGGCTCTGCCGTGGGCCCTCCTGGTTGGGCCATGGAGCCCCGTGGGTAAGTACAGAGTGGAGAGGAACTGTGGCTAGGAGCAGGGACCCAGCCTCCTCTGGGCTTTGCTGAGGATAGCAGCTGTGTCACATCCCCCTGTGTCCTTAGTCCCTGCACATGGTAGGTGCTCATGTTGGATAAACGGATGGATAATGGAACGAGTTATTGCCAAATACACAGAATTAGGGAGCCTAGGCCGAAGAATGACCATCAGTATTTCCCGTTTCACTCTCTCCAGTCTGAGGGGGAGCTTTCACTTGCCTCTGTCTTCTCCTTTCATAAAGAGTTCTCGACTCAACACAGGAAAAGACTGATTGGAATCTTGAGTCAAATTGAACCCAAAGCTGAAAGGGAATCACTGATGTTTTTATACAGTATGATCAAGCCCCCAAACAATATGATCCTGCGTTTCATCTCGCTATCTTCAGCTTTGGACAATCTCTTACTAGAATCTGAGGCCGCTCTCTGTAGCCTGGGCCTCTGAAGAGGGAAGTGGGATCAAGGTACCACACATTAGGTTAAAAAGAGGAAGTCCCTGATCATCAGGGACCAGAGATGCAAGACAGGAAGGAGAGGAGGCCTGTGGGGTGATCCGTGCTGGCAGAGGTGACAGGACGGTGACATGGCCCCTGCAGACCTCCCTGGCCACACACTCATTCCTCCTGGCCCTCTCCTTTCCTCAGTCTTTGTTTGAGGATCATCAGAGGAATGTGTCTCCTTCTAAGAATCCTTTTCTTTCCTCTACTCTCTGAGGTGAGGAAGAGGGAGACTTCGTTTGGGGACAAGGATCTGGCTGGTCTGCTGATCTACTGACCAGCACGCTCCCCACCCTCCCTGATTTTGGACCTTCTCCTCTGTCCCCTTCCAAAGCTCTTCCCCGCCGCTGGCTGCTCCTTCCTTGACCCTGCTTTGTGCAGACTACAACAGAATCAAGACCGGGACTTTCGCAGGAAGCAGATGTCCCAAGGGGGGAAGGGCAAGGCCACCCACAGGACGAGTCCAGTCCCTGGTCCCACCTGGGAAACTGGGAACAAGACCAGAGCAGCAATACCACACCCTTGCCCTGGGCTGCTGAGCAGGAGAGGGCCAGGCCCTCAGCACCCTGCCCCTGCCCCTGCCCAGGGATGGGTCACAGGATGACTTGTCTGGACCAGGTATGGGGTGTGGCAGCTCTAGCTGTGTGGCATCCTAGGGCTGGGCATGGCTTTTGTCATGCTGGGTCCTCCAGGATCCTCTTCCCTATGGGCACTGTCCCCCTCCTCTCTGAGGCCATTTGTCACCAGGCCCCCATCCTGGCCGTGACTCTGCCCTGTTTCTCCCCCTGGGCCACTCCGGCCCCATCTGTGCTGGGCATCCACCTTCTGCTGCCTGGAGCATCAGGCTGAGGGCCCGGTTCCTGCAGGCCTGTGCGGCCTCTCACGCACAGACGGCCCCCGATCTCACCCAGGAGCCTGGAGCCCCATTTCATGGGAGGTGCAGCGCTATGATGGCTGGTACAACAACCTCAAGGAGCATGGCTGGGGCAGCAAAGGTAGGTGTCAGCTGAATGCGGACAGCCGAGTGGCAGCACAGGCTACTCACCTCTAAAATTTTGGGATCCACAGCATGGGGGGGACTCTGGGAGAAGGGAAGGCAAAACTGCTCCCTGAGCCAGGCCTGATGGCACACGCCTGTAATCCCAGTACTCTGGGAGGCTGAGGCAGGCGGACTGCAAATTCAAACCCAGCCTGGGCAATTTATCAGCTTAGTGAGACCATTTCAAAATAAAAAATGAAAAGAGGGCCGGGGATTTAGCTCAGTGGTTTGGCTGCCAGCTGTGCAAGTGCAAGGATCTGAGTTCAATCCCCGGTACCAAAAAAAAAGAAAAGAACCCTAAAAAATGAAAAGAGCTGGGGATGTAGCGCAGTGTGAAGGCCCTGGGTTTGATCCCCAGTACTGCCTACATACATAAAGCCTGCTCCCTGAGGATTCCTTGGTCCTTGTCCTTACCTCTCCCGTGCCAGGCTCCCGGCTGCGGCGCCTGGTCCCGGCTAGCTATGCTGACGGTGTGTACCAGCCCCTGGGAGAACCTCACCTGCCCTACCCCCGGGAACTCAGCAACACCGCCCTGCGGGGCCCCTCGGGTCAGGCCTCCCTGCGGAACCGCACGGTGCTGGGCATCTTCTTTGGTGAGGACCTCTGCCCGCTGCTCGGGGAGAGAAGTGGGAGGTCCGCTGCACCCCTTCCTGCCCCAGGTGGGGTCAGAATGACGAGAGTCTGAGAGTGGGGCCGGGCAGAGCGTGAAAACTGGCAGGGTCTCTCATGGAGCCCTCCTGTCCCAGTGGGTCTAGGGACCGGGCAGGAAGGGTTCCGGCCAAGAGGGCTGAGGGGAGGTCCTTGCCCGGGGTCTGACCTCTGCTGAGGCCCTCAGCCTCGGGGAGGCTCCCAGCTGCGTGTCGGACCTGGTGCCGCCAGCCCGTGAACCCGGCATGGCCCAGTTACCAAGGACAGGGCGATGACCACACGCGGGCCAGGAGTCGCAGGCGCTGGGCTGCTCTGGGCTCCGACATGCGCTTCAGGGCTCCCGACTCCTGAGGCTTCCAGCGCTGGAGGGCGGGCTGGGCACCGGGCAGGGCAGGGCAGGGCGCCCCGGGGTGGTCCTAGCGCCTTCCCCACGCGCCCGCAGGCTACCACGTGTTGTCGGACGTGGTGAGCGTGGAGACCCCCGGCTGCCCCGCCGAGTTCCTCAACATCCACATCCCGCCCGGAGACCCCGTGTTCGACCCCGACCGCCGCGGGGACGTCGTGCTGCCTTTCCAGAGGAGCCGCTGGGACCCCGAGACCGGACGCAGCCCCAGCAACCCCAGGGACCCGGTGAGGGCCGGGCCGGGCCGGGGCAGGGCGGGGCGGGGTGGGGCCCCGGGGCGCCCGGCCTCCCTGACCCCCGGCCCGCGTCTCCAGACCAACCAGGTGACCGGCTGGCTGGACGGCAGCGCCATCTACGGGTCGTCGCACTCGTGGAGCGACGCGCTGCGCAGCTTCTCCGGGGGGCGGCTGGCGTCGGGGCGCGACCCCGCCTTCCCGCGCGAGTCGCAGGACACCCTGCTCATGTGGACGGCGCCGGACCCCGCCACGGGCCAGGGCGGGCCCCGGGGGCTGTACGGTGCGGGGGCGCGGGCGGGGGCGGGGGGAGCGGGAGGATGGGGCGCCCCCCGCGGCCGCTCCGCTCACCGCGCCCCCGCGTCCCGCAGCCTTCGGGGCCGAGCGCGGCAACCGCGACCCCTTCGTGCAGGCGCTGGGCCTGCTGTGGTTCCGCTTCCACAACTGGTGGGCGGACCGGTTGGCTCGGGACCACCCGCGCTGGGGCGACGAGGAGCTGTTCCAGCACGCGCGCAAGAGGGTCGTCGCCACCTACCAGGTCCGCGCCGCCTCGGCCCCGTCGGCCCCATCGCGCGGCCGCCAGAACACGGGGCGGGGCGGGGGCGCCTCCTCCTGGGCGCGATTGGGAGGCCCGGGCTGCTCACGGGAGAGACTTCGCCGTGGTTGTTATGAAGGACCCCGCCCCATCCTGTGGTTCCTGGGGCCCCCCCAGTTTCTGTGTGAAGTTCCTCCGGGGTGCGCACGCCAGCTCCCCCTGCCCAGCCGGCGCCACCCTGCTCCTCTGTCCCCTCTGTGACCCACAGAGCATTGCTATGTACGAGTGGCTGCCCAGCTTCCTGGGGAAGACACCCCCAAAGTATGAAGGTGAGGGGTGGCCAAGGAGGAGAGAGGCTTGCGGGAGGGGGGGAGGCTGCTGGCCCGGGTGTCTCAAGGCCCCCTCGTGTGCCCTGTTTCCCGCGCCCCAGGTTACCGGGCGTTCCTGGACCCCAGCGTCTCCCCGGAGTTCGTGGTGGCCTCGGAGCAGTTCTTCTCCACCATGGTGCCGCCCGGAGTGTACATGAGGTGTGGAGGGGTCCATCGTGTGTTTTGCGGGGTGCGGGTGTCAGTGGAGGAAAACTTGCCTTCAGGAGCCTACAGTACAGGACCCAGTCGTTCCCCTTTCTGTGGAACAGTGAAAGTGTACGGAAAGGAAGAGAATGTAAAACGGCGATTGTTGCAGATTTTTAAACACTTTTCATCCATCCTCCTGCTGTTGGTAGATTAATTCCTCAGTAAAGGGCAGTCACTGAAATTCAGATGGGTCATAAAGATCCCCAGTCTGAACCTCAGGGGCATTTGTTTAGCTGTAAGCACAGGGTCTGGGATTTACAAGCTTTGGGGAGGAGTTTTTAAAATGTATTCAATCTGAAGAAAAGATTTGCTCCAAAACAATACCAAAGGAACTTTAAATAAAGCTATGCATATTTAAGTCAGTGTACATAGATAAAACATTGGCTTACTGTATTTTTTTGCAGTTGCATTATAATTTAAAGCAATTCATAGTTTAGATTTGCACATTCTAGAGCAATCTCTGGGTTTGCTTAATGATGGTGGAGAAGTCAGGCAACTGTTAACCACAGATGAGTAGTTTCTAAAGAAAATTTGAAAGTCCTTTAGAAATGTGTCTCCATGGCTGGGTGCAGTGGTTCACACCATAGTCCCAGCTACTCGGGAGGCTGAGGCAGGAGGATCACTTATTTGAGACCAGCCTGGGCAAAACAGTGAGATTTTATCTCACACCAAGAGTGGGGTTGGGCTCCATATTAGCAGAATTTATAGGTTCATGGATCTATAGATTCAGTCAACCTCAGATTGAAAACATTTTAAAAAATTGCTTCTGTACTGAAGATGAACAGATTTTGCGGGATCATTCATCCTTGAATAATACAGCGAGAAAACAATACGGAGAGAGAGAGAGGATGGGGAGGAAGAGACAGAAGGCTCCTGGATTGTGTTTTTAGATGTTTGGTGTGAGGGCGGGGAGGGAGCTGCTGACCATACCGCCAGCCATTCGGATGGAACCACTGGGCTTCTGGCTGCTGACTCCATGGCCTCTGGTTGCTCTGCTCCTTGCATTTCAGGAACGCCAGCTGCCACTTCCGGGAGGTTGTCAATCGGAATTCAAGTGTCTCCAGAGCTCTTCGAGTATGCAACAGTTACTGGAGCCGAGAGGTCAGGGCTGGGGGCCTGTGTATGCGTGAGTGTGTGTCCAAGAGCAGGTGGGGAGGTGTGCAGTAGGCTGAGGCAGGCAGCTAGGATGGGCTGGGATGAAGGAAGCAGCCTGGAGAACGTGGTCAGAAGTGGAACGTCCCTCGGGAGGCTGAGGCAGGAGGATCAATGAAAGTTCAAGGCTGGCCTAGACTACATAATGAGTCCTGCCCAAGCCAGGCTGGTATATGTGCAGAGCACTGACGGTGATTTAAAGCAAAGTCAGAGACTTTGTGGGTGTTTGGAAAGGAAGGAGGGAGGTTGAGCACCCAGGAGACGAAAGCAAGGCACAGAATCAGTCACGGAGCTAACTGAGGCCTCAGCACCCTCCTAACCTGAGTTTGAACCCTCGGCCTTGGACGTGCTAGGCAAGGGCTCCACTCTGGAGCTGCACCCCCAGCCCAAGTCCTTTTCGTGAAAGGGAGGAGACTGAGTTCCGAGAGGGCCTGCGACCCGTCCACAGCCAAAGAGCTGGTCGGGACGCATCTAGTAATGCGAGGTGTTCTAGTGCCTTTGCCAACCGTGGAGTCCGGTCTGTTTCTCGGGGCCTCGTGCTGGGACAGGCCTGCTCCCAGGCGTGGACTCTGGATGGGGACAGTACTTACATGGGCGGGGAACTCACCTGCCAGGGAGGAAAGGTCCAGGAGGAGCAATAGGCCTGGGTGGTTGGGAGCCTAACTCTCTGCTCCTCCCATCCCCGAAGAACCCAAACCTCCAGAGCGCTGCAGACTTCGAGGCGCTGCTTCTGGGCATGGCCTCCCAGCTCGCCGAGCGAGAGGACCATGTGGTGGTTGAGGACGTGCGAGGTGAGCCAGGCGGGAGGGTGCCCGGGGCTGGGAGCCTGGCACCACCCGCCGTGCCTTCCTTCATGTGGCTCTGATGTCCCCGGGCTAGGCCCCCGGTGAGCCCCTGTTCTCTCATTCCCAGATTTCTGGCCTGGGCCGCTGAAGTTTTCCCGCACAGACCAGCTGGCTGGCTGCCTGCAGCGGGGCCGGGATCTGGGTCTGCCCTCTTACACCAAGGCCAGGGCTGCACTAGGGCTGCCCCCCGTTGCCCGCTGGGAGGATATCAACCCCACCCTCTCCCGGAGCCACAGTGCAGTGAGGAGGGCTCAGGATCGGAGGGAGGGGAGGGAGGGCCACGCTGTCCCTGTGTGCAGAAGACAGGCAAGGAGACAGGTCCCATGGACAGGGCTCCCCAGGGGACTCGTCCCAGGCTCATGCGTCAGGATGGAGGTGACCAGGCCACCAGCCTTGGGCTTTCACTCTGCATGCTCGTATCCAGCCACCATTTATTGAGCAGCTGTTGTGGGCCAGTGCCTTATTAAACATGGGTGTGTGGAGCAGGCTTGGCTTAGGAGCAAACTGCTTTGATGTCCCAACATCCCAGATGCCTTAGGGGCTCACCCAGGTGAGCGGCTCTGCCTGCCAGCCACCAGGCTGGTTCTGGCCTCCTCACCCTCTGGCCAGCAGTGTCTCCCCAGTTCTGTGCTGGATCTCCCCCTACTGCCTCAGGCGCTATGGGAGAGTGGATTGCAAGGCCCACAAAAAATCGATATGTGCATGGGGCTTAGAAAACCTTACAAAACCACAGTAAAATAGGAATCACCAAGCATACAGAAAGTAGCAAGTCTTTGGTGTCGCCTGGGCCTCTTTAGAACTAAGCTGGTGAAGTGCTTATTTGCACTGGTGAAAAAAGAACTAAAGCAGGTAGAAAATGCTGCTATATATGGTTGAAGCCAGTCCCTAAAAAAATGAATATATAGTTGGAATTTGACATTTATTTACTTATTTATTTTTGGAATTTTTTGAGGCAGGGTCTCGCTATGTAGTATAGGCTGGCCTTGGACTGACTATGGAGCCCTAGGCTGGCCTTAAACTCTCAGTGATCCTCCTGCCTCAGTCTCCTGAGTGCTGGGATTACAGGCATGCACCACCATGCCCAGCTAGGATTGTATTTTATTTATTTATTTATTTTTTTTGTACCGGAGATGGAACTCAGGACCTTGTGAGGCAGGCGTGGTGCCACTGAGCGAAATCCCTTTAGGATTTGATTTTTGAAAACATTTTTTTAGCTCCAAAGAGTAGAAATGGTTTATAACACAGGATGCTACCACTTAATTTTGTACATGTGGATACTGCCCTTTCAACTTTCACACCTTTCCAAGTTCAAACCGCGTAGGGGCCTGGCAGTCTGCGGCAGCTGGAGCTGGGAGGAGGTTCCCTTAGCAAGTTAACTGGGTGTGGGCTCGGGCTGTGCCTGGGGCACAATAGGACTCTCCACTAGTGACCACTCTTACTGTCACTTCCTGTTGGCATCCCTGGGGCTGATCCCGAGCCACCTCTCCGCCCCAGGCTGGGTGCTGCGTCTTCTCATCCCCTACTGTCCCTGCCTGATCCCAGGTGCTGGAGGCCACAGCCAGTCTGTACCACCAGGACCTGTCCCGCCTGGAGCTGCTTCCGGGGGGGCTCCTGGAGAGCCATGGAGACCCCGGACCCCTGTTCAGCACCATCGTCCTTGACCAGTTTGTGCGGCTTAGGGATGGCGACCGCTACTGGTTTGAGAACACCAGGAATGGGTAAGGCCGCGGACCCCCATTAGACTGGACGGGCCCCAGGCCTGGATGCCAGGCTTCTCCCACCCTGCCCCTCTGGTCTTCCTTCTCCTCTCTGCACCCCAGGCTGTTCTCGGAGGAGGAGATCGCAGGGATCAGAAACACTTCCTTCAGGGAGGTCCTGCTGACTGTCACCAGGGTGGACTCCAGCGCCCTGCAGCCCCATGTTTTCTTCTGGGTTGCGGGTGAGTGCACTGCCCAAGGGGCAGCTGGGGGCCGGGTCTGGGGCCCTGTCTCTCCTTGGGTGGGCCTTGCTTGTGTGGTGGCACTGTGGCGCTGAGGGGGAGTGAGTGAGGCTCCGGTCCTTGGGCTCTGTGGGGCCAGGGCTGGGGCTGCCGCCTGCAGCTGTGGGGTCCCCTGCTCAGCTCCAGGAGCGGCCTGAGTAGGGCCAGACTGAGCCCCCCGGAGACCAGGGAGGAGCCTTGCATTTGGCAGGGATGGGGTCCCTGCAGGGATGAGGGCAGTGCTGTTTGTGTGTGTGTGTGCGCAGGTGAGGGAGACAGAGGCTGGGCTCGTTTTCTCGCCGCACGTGTTACCCAGTAGGCAAATGCCAGTCTTGCTGCAATGGCAAGGGGAAGCAGCCCTTCCCTGGCCCTTCCCTGCTCCCCCTTGACCCAGTGCCCAGGCTCTGTTTTCCTCCCTCTGTCAGGGGACCCCTGTCCACAGCCAGGACAGCTGACCGCCGAGGGCCTGCCAGCCTGTGTGCCCCTCGTGGTCCGGGACTATTTCAAGGGCAGCGGCTTTGGCTTCGGGCTCACCATTGGGACCCTGTGCTGCTTCCCCCTAGGTAAGAGGACCAGGTGGGCACAGTGGGCAGGTGAGAGGTGCAGGCTGGGGAGGGAGGGCTGTCTGGGACACGGGCCTGCATCGTGCCGCTCCTCTGGGCAGAGAGAGTCAGGGACCCGGCTCCTGAGTAGTCCGAGCTGCAGGTACGTCAGCTCCAAGATCTGCCTCCCCATTCTCCAAGGATCCCCACCAGCCTGGCTTGGTCAGGCGCCTGGGGAGTCACAGTCGGCAGCTGTCTGCAGGATTCTGGGCCCGAGGGACTGTCAGGGGCAGGGCCTCAGGGGGAATCAGGCTTGGGCGGTGGAACTGCTAGCAGGGCTTGGGACTTAGTCTTCCTCAGGGCTGAGTCTGAGTGGGCCAGGATCCCGGCTGGGTGAGTCTGGCCTGTGGCTCCAGGGCTCTGGGCCTGGGCTCCGGCTGGGAAGGGGCCTGAGTGGGGACGCAGGGGTGGCTAGACTGGTGTCTAGATGCCACCAGACCCATGGGATGCAGAGCAGCTCCTCCTGTGGATCTTCACAAGCAGACAGCTTAGGAGACCGAGGAGGCAGGGAAAGCAGGGGCCCTTGCCAAGGAAAGCAGTTGGGGTGGGAGCTGGGCCATCTCCCAGGTAGAACCTCACATCCCCAAGGGTCCTGCTGCCTCTGCCCTCCCAGTGAGCCTGCTCAGTGCCTGGATTGTGGCCCGCCTCCGGATGAGGAATTTCAAGAGGCTGCAGAGCCAGAACCGCCAAAGCATCATGTCTGAGAAGCTGGTAGAGGGCGTGGAAGGTAGGCCTGGGGCTGCGGGATCGGGACAGGGACAGCCCCACAGGAACCACCGAGGAGCAAGCTTCCTTTCTAGGGCTGTCAGCAGGGCAGGGGCACTGGGGAGCCACAGTGGCAGGAAGTAGAAGTTGGATCATAGCAGTTTTTTGTTTGTTTGGTACCGGGGATGGAACTCGGGACCTTGTGCTTTTGAGGCAGGCAGTGGCACCACTGAGCTAAATCCCTGCCCCATAGCAGACTTTTAAATCTCTCTACTCCTATTTTTTATTTATATATAGGAATAGTTGTAAATCTCGTAGGTTTGGCAGCAAATGGAGCAGCTCACACAAGGCACCATGTTGAGCGCCTAGTGACACTCAGGATGTGGTTGTTCCATCCTCTTGTGGGCTGGAGGCACAGCAGGACTCTTGGGGAGGGAGTTGCCTCCTCGGTGCCCAGGAAGAGGGCAAGAAGCTGGGGGCCAGCGCTAACCTCTGACCCGGGTCTCACCCCCAGCTCTGGAGTGGCAGGGCCGCAAAGAGCCCACCCGGCCGGTGCGCGTGCACGTGCAGCCTGGGCAAATCCGCGTGGTGGATGGCAGGCTCACCACGCTGCGCACCATGCAGCTGCGGCCCCCGCAGCAGGTCTACCTCATCCTGTCCAGCAACCGTGGCCGCCGCACCCTGCTCCTCAAGATCCCCAAGGAGTACGACCTGGTATGGCCTGCAGACCCTGGTGCCTGGTCGAGCCGCAGTGAAAGAGGCACCCTGGTCTTGGGGGCCGAAGGCAGGGTGTCTGGCTCCTGGGGCCTGCCTGTCAACACTTGGTGGAGTCCAACACCGTGGTCCTGTCCAGGGACTGCTGGGTGGCCTGACCTCCTCTCTCCACTCCTGCAGTTATGGCGGTTCCCTCCTTGTCTAAGGAAGTCCTATCTCGGCAGAGGCCACACCTGCTTCCCTACACCTTTATTTCCAGATCTAGTGAATTTCTAGAAGGGGAGCTAAACCGGGGGCTGATTGAGGGCTCTCCTGCCTGCCTGAGAGGGCCCCCCATCTTTGGCCTCTCGCCTTCCCTCGCTTCTCCAGCGTGGAGTCTGGGGAAAAGCGGCCCCACCTCGCCTTTGAGAGCTAGGTCTGCTGTCAGCTGCAGGGTCTCGGCCAGTGACACCCAGGGAGCGCCCCAGCCCCAGGCCTCGGTCGGTCAGTGGTAGGCGGCAGTGGTCACTCTGCACCCCGCAGGTGTTGCTGTTCACCTCTGAGGAGGAACGGCGGGTGCTGGTGGGAAACCTCCAGGAGGCCCTGAAGGAGAGCGGGCTGAACTTCCAGGCGTGGGAGCTGCGGGAGCCAGAGCTGCTGAGGTCCGCCGTGACGCGGGAGCATCGGAGCCACCTCCTGGAGACCTTTTTCAGGCACCTCTTCTCCCAGGTGCGTCACAGACTCAGACCTGCTCGAGGGACTGTGCCCGCATGGTGTCCTTACCTGCACGAGGCCACAGTGGCTCCTGCAGAAGCCGGAAGTCCTGAGTTCCTGGCTGACAGCGCTGTTCTAAAATTTGGGGCAAGTCGAGGCGTCCCCACCCTCATCAGAGTCCTGTCCCCAGCTGGGATCAATCCCAGAACGGCCCTGTCTGGGTGCTGCTGAGGAGAGGGCCAGCATGAGGGTGGAGTCAGATCCTAGGGGAGGTGACTGGCAAGGGCTCAAGGGTCAGAAAGCTTGGGGTCCACAGAGAGGAAGAGCAGAGGTGGCCTTGGACAGCTGCAAAATCAGTGTTTGAGAAGCTGGCTGGGGGCTGGGGTTCGTGTGCATTCAAGCTACTGTTTAATGAGCATCTAGTGGGCCGGGTTTAACCCTCCCGAGAGTTGAATGCTGGGTGTGCAGAGAGCCAGGGCCCAGGCAGGATGAGGCTTGGGGTCCCCCAGAACTGTGGGAACCCCCTGTGCGGGGATGTGTGTGCACTGCGGAATCCTGGGTGGCTGCTCATCTTGTGACTGCAGGGTGCTCTCAGCTTTCCAAACGTTTGCTTGCGACCTCCCTGGTTGATTCTCACAATAACCCTGTGAGGTAGCCGCGCAGTTGAGGAAGTGAATCCAGACAAGACATTGGCCGGAGGCCATGGAGTAAGTGGGTGGCAGAGTCAGGAGGTGAAGCCAGGGCTCTTTCCACTAAGGCACCTTGTGGAAGCCAGACAGGCTTGGGCTGAACAGCACCGTGGACAGGCAGGAAGGACAGGTAGCACGGCACCTGGGCCAATGTGGATGGCCCAGGATGACAGTTCCTCTTCCCCAACCCCAGATGAAGCCCTGCCTTTGTTAAAGCTCCTTTAAATGTAAGTTAGGAAGAAGCCACACAGGCTCAGCTGACCCTGAGGATCCAGCTTGTCCCAGGGACTTCCGGGAAAGGGAGGCTACCAGCAAAGAAGGCTGCCCCTCTCTTGGGCTGCCTCTATTTTCTGTTTCTCCTCTGCTCTGTGTGTCTGAGCACAGGGAGGAAAGGACGTTGCACATCTTGCAAGTTGTATTGTGCTCAAGTCCAGACACATCTGGGTCCCCTTCGTTCTAATTCCAGATCCCCACCTTGACCTGGTCTAGCCAAGCCCAGGACTCAGGGGCACAAGCACAGTCCCTGGGCCCATGCGTGGGCTGCTGGGTGGAGCCTCAGAGGTGACCATGCGGGCCTTTGAGTCGAGGGAGCTGTGACCCTCCTCTCTCTCCCTCTGCCGCTGCCTGAGTGCAGGTGCTGGACATCAACCAGGCAGACGCGGGGACGCTGCCCCTGGACTCGTCCCAGAAGGTGCGGGAGGCACTGATGTGTGAACTGAGCAGGGCCGAGTTTGCCGAGTCCCTGGGACTCAAGCCCCAGGACATGTTTGTGGAGTCCATGTTCTCCCTTGCTGACAAGGACGGCAATGGCTACCTGTCCTTCCGGGAGTTCCTGGACATCCTGGTGGTCTTCATGAAAGGTAAGGGAGAGGGCTGGCGACTGAGGTGGAGTCTGGCTGACCTGTCGGAGGTGGGGAGCCCTGGGGCCCTGGAGGTGGGTCTCCAGCCATGGCCGACTCCTGGGGATGCCCAGGCAGGGGTGGAAGCTGAGTGCCACCTGGCTGCGTCTGGCTGGGGTCATCACACTGGGGGTTCAGGCTGATGGCTGCAGCGCTCCTTGTGGTCTCCCTTGGCCCAGGCTCCCCTGAGGAGAAGTCCCGCCTCATGTTCCGCATGTACGACTTTGATGGGAACGGCCTCATCTCCAAGGACGAGTTCACCAGGATGCTGAGGTCGGTCCTCTGGGACAGCCAGGAGCCCTTGGGACAGGAGAGGGACAGCGGAGGGCCTCCTTATGCTGAAGGCCTGGAGGGCTGGTCACTGGGCCTCATGCCTGGGCCCGATGGCTCGGTCCCCCACCCCAGGTCCTTCATCGAGATCTCCAACAACTGCCTGTCCAAGACCCAGCTGGCCGAGGTGGTGGAGTCCATGTTCCGGGAGGCGGGCTTCCAGGACAAGGGGGAGCTGACGTGGGAGGACTTCCACTTCATGCTGCGGGACCACGACAGCGAGCTCCGCTTCACGCAGCTCTGCGTCAAAGGTGGGGCTGCCGGGGATCTTTCTTTCCTCCCCCAACGTCATCACACAGTTTCTTTCTTTCTTGCTCCTACGTGGAAAGGAGCCCAGGAAGGTGGCAGTGCCTGTAGGGGTCAGGGTGGGTGGGAGATTGCGGCTGCAGCTGTGCTTCCCTGGCTTTCGGCCCATGCCCCAAGCGCATGGTGCCCAGGCCAGGGAGGAAACAGGGCCGCCTTGTTACGGCCTCACCTGAGCTGGCCGTGTCCCCTCAGCTGGCTGTTCCGTTCTGGGCGGGGAGGTGTCTCTGGCTGTTTGCCTCTCTGCTTTGGGCTCAGTGCTGTCACTGCTGTTGTGCTCCCTCCTCTTCGCCCCACCTGTCTGACTCAAGTGGGCGGAGTCAGTGGGGGAAAGGACAGGTAACAGATAAGGGTCTCTCTGCGGCCTGCTCTGCCCTGTTGCAGCATCTCCTTGGCCTGAGTTTCTCGCAGGGGCCTGTTGAGACCAAACCCAGCCCCTCCCAGGATTATGAGAAGGCAGCTGGGACAGGAGCAAGTTAGACAAGATGGGGATGCAGCTCTGGCCAGGGCTGCCTTGACCCTGGAAGTAGGGGTGTTGGCAAAGAGGAGCCCCAGTGCTCCCCAACCTGCACCTTTGCCCCTGGACAGTGAGCACTGGGGCCAGTGGGCAGGGCCAAGGAAGAGACTGGAAGGGAGCCAGGCCACAGAGTCCAGAGCCACCCAGCCTGGTGGGTCCAGACTTGGGGACTGGGGATTTTAAGTAGCACTGTGGATTCTTGTTTTGCCTTTAGTCATTGCTGTGCTGCATTGCTTCTTCCTGATTTTACTTAAAAAGGCTTTGGACTACAGAGAAGGAGCAAGACTAGTGCAAACAGCCCTTCCCTTCTACCTCAATTGGCCACCGTTTACTATTTTACCACACTCACTGTTTGCTCAAGCATTTGAGAGTGTAGAGATCTGTTTGCGTTCAATATTTATCTGTTTATTTAAACACTTTGGCCTCAGTTAGAGACCAGGATTATCTTCAGGGTAACCTGGTGTCTCTGTCACTTTCTCATCACTGGAACACAATACTGACACCCACAGACTAAAGGGGAAAGGTTTATTTTGGCTCAGGTTTGCGGAGGGTTCAGTCCATAGGCCAATGGCTCCATGGGAGGGTGGCATGGCAGAGGAATAACTGCACATGGCATGGTGGACAGGAAGCAGAGAGAGATCAAGGGATGATCTGGGGAGGCAGATAAACCCTTCCAGGCCATGCCCCGATCTAAACCATAACACTTGGGGGTCCCCAGACCTTTCATAAGGACCTGGCTTGGCAGTTAAGTCTTGCCCTACCCCCAGTGCTCAGCCTAGATGGGAGCAATGGGGTGGCCCCTGGGAAGGGCTCTCCCCCAGTATTTTATTATGAACATTTTCAGATGAAAGTAGAACTTTAGAGTGATCTCCCCTGTACCTACCACCTAGTTCTACATTGAACTCTCAGGAGGTTCCAAGCAGGAGGGTCTTAAGCAGACTTCTTGTGGCAGAAGGGGCTTAGCAGGCAGGTTGCATACATTTCCTGAACTCTACATCTGTCCCTGATGCCAGTCCTAAGATCCATTCCCCAGACAGCCTGCCTGCCCAGCTTCATTTTGGGCCTTCTCCTTGCCTTCCTACTGGATGGCCGGATCCAGCTGCTGCTCGGGAGGGACAGGGACCCTCTGCCCTGTCTGAACATGGAAGGCCCTCCTGAGCCAGGCCCTCCTGGGCTCTGCATTGCAGGGGTGGAAGTGCCTGAAGTCATCAAAGATCTCTGCCGACGAGCCTCCTACATCAGCCAGGACATCTGGTGAGCCCCAGTGGGGAGCGAGGGCACAGCTGGGATCAGCACCACCAATATCCCACATAGTGCTGTCATACCAGTGAGAGAAGGGCTCCAGGCAGTCTAGGCAGATACAGCCCTGCCCAGGTCTAGCAGTGCACCCGGTGGATCTCAGTGCACTTGCTGCCTGGTCCAGATGTCCCTGTGGAGGGTACAGTCGTAGGTTCGGGCCTCTGTGGGTACTCCAGAATCTTCCTTTCTTCTTGGGACCCCATGGGAGTCCTGCTGTCCCTTGGCCCAGACCTTGACTCTTCCTCCACAAAGTGGGTGTGGGGACAGAGCAGGGGCAGCAGCGGACCAGTGGCTGAGGGGGCCCAGGTCCTTTCCTCCTTCCTAGCCCCTCTCCCAGAGTGAGTGCCCGCTGTTCCCGAAACATCATGGAGGTGGAGTTGACCCCGCAGAGACTGCAGAGCCCCACGGGCTCGGACCCTCCTCAGGAGATTCGACGGCGGTTTGGCAAGAAGTATGCTTGTCTGCCCCTTTGGTCCACCCATCCCGTCAGCATCCTCCCTAGTGGTCCGGGCACTGTGCTCAACCCCGGGGGAGTGGGCAGATAAAGTCCTTGCCCAGGGACGTCAGACTGTTGAGTAGCCTGTCACCTGATCACGGGTGTCCCACTGATATGGTAGAATGGGGGTGCCTGCCTGGGGGCCAGAGGATCCTTCCTGGACAGGCGCTCCACGGGCCCCAGAGCCCGCCTGGGTGCACGGACCGGAAGGGCTGAGTGTGCACGAACCCTTTGGGACTGAATGACCAGGGCTGCGGTAGCGCCCTGGGGGTCTGACCCGCTGCCCCCACCGCGGACAATCTGCGCCCCTCCGCCGGGCTGGGCTGAGGCTGCGGTCCCCTAGGGTTACGTCGTTCCAGCCGCTGCTGTTCACGGAGGCGCACCGGGAGAAGTTCCAGCGAAGTCGTCGCCATCAGACAGTGCAGCAGTTCAAGCGCTTCGTTGAGAACTATCGGCGCCACATCGGCTGCGTGGCCGTGTTCTATGCCATCGCCACCGCGCTGTTCCTGGAGCGCGCCCATCGTGAGTGCCGCCTGGCCGGGCCAGCCAGGGCGGGGCCTGGGGGCGAGAGGGGGCGGGGAAGGGGCGGGAAAGGCAATGACTGACAGTGGTGGGGCGGGGCCTACCGAATAACAGGCCGCCCTGGGGCAGGGCCTACAATGAATGACAGTCCTGGACTGGGTCTATTGTGAGTGACAGCCCCTGAAGCCGGCCTGTGCTGAGTGACAGCTCTGGGGTGGGGCCTATTGGGAGAGATGGACAGTCCTGGAGCAGGGCCTGTGGGAACAATGGAGGGCCCTGGGGGCAGGGCCTATAGTGAGTGACAGATCTAGGGTGGGGCCGGTTGTGAGTGATGGACAGCCTGTGGGGCGGGGCCTGTGAGTGGACAGCAATGGACGGGGCCTAGTGTGACTGTCAGCCCCTGGCGGAGGCCTGCAATGAGTGACAGCCCCAGGGTGGGCCCTGCAGTAACTGTCGCCCTGGGGGCGGGGCCTATTGAGAGTGACACCCCCTTGCGGCGGTGCCTGTGATGGTGGACGGAGTGAGGGGCGGGGCCTCCTATGCGTGACGGGCACCTAGTGACTGGGACCTGCTGGAATATACTCCAGGGCGGCATGTTGTGGGTGGCAGCTGGCCAGGACCTGCAGTGGGAGGTGTCCCTAACCAGAGCTCTGTCGCCCGCACTGCCCCCCTCTGCAGACTATGCCTTTGCAGCACACCACAAGGGCATCACAGATACCACCCGTGTGGGCATCATCCTGTCGCGGGGCACGGCGGCCAGCCTCTCCTTCATGTTCTCCTACATCCTGCTCACCATGTGCCGCAACCTCATCACCTTCCTGCGGGAGACCTTCCTCAACCGTTACATCCCCTTCGACGCCGCCGTGGACTTCCACCGCTGGGTCGCCTTCACGGCCATCGTGCTCACAGGCAGGGCTGCCCCGCCCAGGCCCCCTCCGCACTCAGAGTGGACCGTGTGTGTCCTTCTCCCCAGGACACAGGTGGCCCAGCCTGTGGTGTGCGTGAGGGTGATCGGAAGTTAGGTGCAGGGTTAAATGTTTAAAATGTTACACTGCAAGGCGCATGGCCGTGAACTCCCCTCAGAATCCTCCCCCTTGCTTTGAGCACAGCGAGCCCGCCTTCCTTGCCAGTTCTGAAACAGTTCTCAGAGTCTTCTTTAGTTACACTGTGTGTCTGCCTTGATTCAAAATGTGTATCTCTCTTGGTTACTTTGACTTTGGGGCAGAGCTGGAAGTCGCCAGTGAATAAGATGGATGAGGACACTGTCTTGTTTTTACCAGACTCCCCTTTCAGTGGATGGCCCTTGGCCACACTCTGAAAGTGATCAAAAAGTGATGTGAGACACTCATGAAAGAGGACTTCAGAACTGCTTCAGAAAGTGGCAAAAGACCCATGGGATAAGTGTGTTCACAGCTGGGGGAGTATTCTCAGGGGGATTCGTGGCAATGTCTTTTACTGTAGTAATTTTTTTCATTTAAACATTCATTGTACATTTTGGCCCCACCAGGGCCCTCTCATCAGCCTCCACCTGACAAATTGCCAACACCCGGGTGCACATAACCTTCTCTCTCCCAGTTTTTATGTTTAAAAACGTAACTCTGGTGGCCAGGATTTAGCTCAGTGGTTACGCCACCTGCATTGCAAGCGCAAGGACCCGAGTTTGATCCCTGGTACTGAAAAAAAAAAACAACCACATAACTCTGGGAGCAAAACCAAAGGAAGGTGCTTCTTTCTAGTGGTTTAATTCCACGGTTATGTTCATGGCTGGTTTGGGGGAGGACCAGGAGGTTGATTGGAGGTGAGAAGTTTGCCCCCTGGGTACCTCTTCCAGGCCCCCAGCTCTGTTTGTGGGGTTCCTGGCCTGGGCAGAAGGCCCTGGGCACCCCAACCATGGCTGTCCCAGGTCACCGTGCCCGTCTGGTCCTCCTTAGTGTTGCACAGTGCTGGCCACGTGGTGAATGTGTACCTGTTCTCCATCAGCCCGCTCAGCGTGCTCTCCTGCCTCTTTCCCGGCCTCTTTCACGACAACGGGTGAGCGTGTGTGTGTGTGTGTGTGTGTGTGTGTGTGTGTGTGTTCCCAGCAGGTGGAAGACACAAACCCTCTTGCCCCAGGGGAGAGTGTCACTCTCCAAATCTGGGGCAGCCCGAGCTTTAGCCTCAAGTTGGCAGAAGCGGAGATGGTGGGGGTCGGCTGCCTCTCCGAGGGTCCCCACTGGAATCCCCAGAGCTCACCTCTCAGTGTCTCCCTGCTGTTCCCTCCCCACAGGTCGGAGTTCCCCCAGAAGTACTACTGGTGGTTTTTCCAGACAGTACCAGGTGAGAGCCCTCCCTCTCTGCAAATTCCCAGGCCGGAAGTGTGGGGAGTCCTAACTGGCTCAGCACCCACGGGGGGGTGGCTAGGACCTGGCCCCTGGCCTGGGACATGCATGTAGGGCAGTGGGAGACTCAGGTGACTCTGCAGACCAGGACTAGCTCTTCCTCAGTCTGGCCTCACACATCCCTATCTGGACAGTAGCCTTGAGGAATGCTACACCCCACTTGTTTGAGGGGGGACCAGGCTCTCTGTGAGGCCAGACAGGCGCCCCCTTCCTTGTAGGATGTCTTGGGAAGGGCTGTTTAGGGGTGTAGTCCTAACTCTGTAATCCCCCACTTTACAGCTATTAGCTGTGAATCTATTCAAACTCTTCTTGAACCTATTTGTATTTCCAGCCTGTTCCCTCCTTGGTGTAACACGTTTCCTATACTTGCTCCTCTCTGTGAAACACAGCATGGATTCTTTTAAATTGGTTTTGAACCCTAAAACGTTCTGCTTTGAACTTCAGAGGGTGCTCAGGAATTCCCGCATGCTGGGATTCAGGGGATAAAGCTGAGTTTATGCTCCCCTCCCCATCACGACTTTACAGGCTTTGCTGAGATCTCTTCTTAACCTTTGTTCTTCCCTCCGCAGGGCTCTAATCCTCCTAATTTCTGCCTTTCTCCTCTTTGATCACCCGAGGGAGCCTCTTCGTGCCTGCACCAGGGCTCCAGCCTCGGCCTCCTTTGTACCCCGGGCCTGGCTGGGGTCCTCCATGAAAGGAAGGGACCCAGGGGTTCTGAGGAGGAGCGGGGACAGCGTAGTCCTGGCCACTACGAATGGTGCCAGTGCTCCTGCCTTGTGCTGAGGCCGCCACATGGGTGGTGCAGGGACCAAGACCAGCCTTGCCTTGGGCCAGGGCTGCGATGTCCATGTGCCACCCAGAGGGGGCACCGAGCATTCATCTGTTCAGCGCCTATTTGCACAAATGATGATAGCCAGGTGTGGTGGTGCCGGCCTATAATCCCAGCTGCTCGGGAGGCTGTGCAGGCGGATGCAAGTTCAAGGCCAGCCTGGGCAACTTATTGAGACTCTATCTCAATACTTAATAAAAGTGCTGTTGAAGCGAGCACTATCTCAATACTTAAAAAGAAAGGAAGGGAGGCGGGGAAGAAAGCAAGAAAAAAAGTGAAAGAGGGCCAGGGATTTAGCTCAGTGGTTCTGCCACCTGCCTCACAAGCACAAGGTCCTGAGTTCCATCCCTGGTACCAAAAAAAAAAAGAAAGTGAAAGAGAAAGAGAAACAGGTGATGAAAGAAAGAGGGAGGCAGGCAGGGGATGTAAGTCAGTACAAAACCCTAGTCCCAGTCCCCGCTAGTGAGAAAGAAAGTGATGTCGCAGGTGAAAATGACCAGTGACATGGCCAAAGGAGCTGATAGCGCCCCTACGAGGTGTAGGGAGGAGGACAGAAGAGGGTGCAGGAGTGGAATGGGGACCCCGTCCTGGGCGATGAGAACACCCTGTCCTGTTCACCTCACAGGCTTCACGGGGGTCGTGCTGCTCCTGGTCCTGGCCATCATGTACGTCTTCGCCTCCCGCCACTTCCGCCGCCGCAGCTTCCGGGGCTTCTGGCTCACGCACCACCTCTACGTCATGCTCTACGTCCTGGTGAGGGCGTCAGCTGGGGGCCAGGCCCATGCGGTGTGGGCAGGACGTCCCCCAGGAGGCAGCGAGGGCTGGGACATCAGTCCTTCACCCCTCCACACCCCAGTGGAAGATGGAGACCGCTGGGTGGCGTTCCCCTAGCTTGACCTGGTGGGGCCATGGTCTTCCTGCCTTTGGGAGTCTGGTGTTGGCTCCTGGGTAATGGCTTGAACCTAAAGGACCATCACTGTTTTCAGAGAAACTTAAGTGGGTTCTGCCACTTTGGCTCTAATCCTATTTTGGGGTGCATTAAGCAAACCACCCAACAAAGTGCTACCTGTGAAGTTTTTTTTTTTTGGTACTGGGGATCGAACTCGAGACCTTGTGGTTTCGAGGCAGGCAGCAGAACCACTGAGCTAAATCCCCAGCCCTACCTGTGAAGTTAATGATCTGGCTCAAACTATCTTCAGCTAGATTGCAAACAAGTTGAACTGTTTTTTTTTTTGGAGACAGGGTCTTCCTATGTAGTTCAGCCTGGTCTTGAATTCATGGCAGTCTTCCTGCCTCAGCCTCCCCAGTGCTGGGATTTTAGGCATGCACCACCACACCTGGCACAAATTGCACTTTTAACCCTGTGCTCTCCTCTTTCCTTTTTAACCTGGGCCCATGCCTTGCTTCTTTCTCCTTCCCTCCTCCTCCTGTTCCCTTCATCCTGCCCCGAGTTCAGCCTCAACTGTGTCACCTGGTGAGTCCCAAGCCGGCGCTCTGTGCTGTGGCTCTTTCTGACTGTCTCCCTTAGGGATCCAGGCAGCTCCTCTGAGGGCACCCGGAGGCCTGGCTGAGAAGCTAACCCAGGTGCCAGAGCCTAGCATCCCTGCTGGTGATGGTGAGGCTGCCCGGATGGTGGAGCCAGTCTCACTGCCCTGTGTGTCTCAGGCGGAGCTGCACGGGGGTCTCCTTTGTTCTGAGACAGAGAGTGAGCAACTGTCCCTGTCTGGCTGCTCCTCCCCTGACAGCAGGCAGGGCGTGATCCCCAGTCCCTGCGCCCTGTGCTCGCCCGCCTGTCATGGTCCCAAAGGCCCACTCAGCATGGCTGAGGATGTTCCTAGAACTGATGATGTTTGTTTCCAAAGAAATCACTCCCTTCTTTGGAAACCAAAGCTAATCTGTTTGTCCTGCCCAGCCTGCCTTCCAAATAATGGGTGGAGCCCTGGTACCCTGGGCTGCTACTTCTGCCAGGGTGGGTTGGTGTGCTGTTGCAGCCTCTTTGGAGTAGGGGAGACCCAGGCGGTGGTCGGGACCCCTTGCTGATCATTCGTGGGTCCAGAGCGCCCTTCCCATGGTAGGAGAGTCCAGGTCTCAGAGCATCTCTCCCAGGGGTGGGGGCAGTGGGGCCAAAGCACCCTCTTCCTTCCATTCATCCTGGGCACGGCTGCTTGACCTGCAGCACAAAGGGAAGTGGTAGGAAAGGAGCCAAGGTGGAGTAGATGCTGGGAGGGATGCCAGCTTGCTGACCCGGGCCAGAGGGCAGGGCTGGCACTTCAGAAACAGCTGCCTGCTCCACCGCCCAGGCCACCCGCCAGCCAGCAGCCTGCAACAGAAAACTGGGTACAGAAACAAGAGCATGAGATCAGCCTGCCTTTGTGCTCGAAGGGGTGGAGGCTTCGGAAGGAGCCTGGGGACTGGGCGTGGTGACACTGTGAAGGGTGCTTCAGCACTAGGCAAACACTTCAGGCTGTGCTGGGAAAGGACCTGGGACCCTTAGCTGAGGGAGGGTCCTGCCAGAGAGACCAGTGGAACAGGTATTTGCTAAGGGTCTCTGCCAGCTCTGGGAGAGGCCAGCAGAGGAGTGGACTCAAACCTCTGCCCTTAGGAACTTCGGGAAAAGATCAAACAAACGCACAGTGCAGGACTCGCTGCTGAGCCGTGTCCGCTCAGTGAGTGGAGGAAGGCACGCAGGAGTTTCACTTGGGCTGAAGTGGTTAGGGAGGACTGGGGAGGAGATCGGGTGTCAGCTACTGGGCAGGGCTGAGTAGCACCTGGAAAGCCATCCAGGACGCAGGGTGGGTGTGGGCCAGGGCTGGGTAGGTCACCGCAGTTAGCAAGGGGATGGAGGAGTGGGCCTGGTGTGGTGGCAGGACATGCTGTGACCAATGGGGGCTGTGGTCCCGCCCAGTGGCCACACCACAGGCTGGGGCGCAGGAAGGGAGGGTGGTGGCCAGGGCTGGGGGTGGTGGCCCAATGGAGCCATGCAGGAGCTGGAGAGTGGGCGGAGGGACGGGTGAGCAGCAGAGCACTGCTGCAGGAGGGGTGGTGGCGGCTGCAGGGATGTGGGGCTGTGTCACTAGAGTCACAGGCTGCCAAGAGCGGGAACAGATGTGGTCAGGAGAGGATGAGGTCTGGACGTCTGTGGGCGTGACGGGGAAGGGGCTCAGGAGAGGTGGGTGGAGCTCAGGACCCGGGCTCAGGAGCAGTGAGCCGGAAGACTGGGGCCAAGCAGTGTCTGCCACCATGGACGCGCAAAGGGTCAGTGTGGGACAGTGCCTGCCACTTGTGTCATGGCTTCCACTGAGGTGTTCTCAGCCCCCCAAAGAGAGGGACTAACTGGGGAAACTCCTCTCCCACCGGTTCCTAAGCACCCGTCATGTGCCAGGCTCTTAGTGTGTCCCCAGCCCAGTGGGGAAGCCAGGGCACACAGGTGTGAACAGCGGCTGTGCGTGATGACTCGTGTCTGGGGGAGTCAGGATGGAGGGATGCTGAGGAGGTGACGCCTCTGCTGAGGCCTGCAAAGGGGACAGAGGTGGCATGAAACGCCAGGGAAGAGCAGCCCAGGCAGGGGGGACAGCAGGTGCAAGGACCCCAAAGTAGAGAGGAGCTGGAAGGGGCCCCGGCTGGCTGGCAGATGTCAGAGTGGAACAGAGCTTGGGGTGCGATGGGAAGCTCACTAAGGCTCCAGGTCACCCTGGCCGCCCTTGGGAGCCTCGCTGAGGCTGGGTGCCCGCAATCCCGGTGAGGCCTCGTGCACAGGGCGTGGGGGTAGGGGGGCTCGTGGGTTGAAAGTGGGACAAATTTAAGTCACTTGTAGGAAGATGGCTGCACCTTGAGGCTACAGTGTGAAGTGAAATAAATCAGACCCAGGGGGTTAAATATCACATGGTTTCTCTCTTATGGGAAACCCAGGGTGTCATCGTAAATGGCAAAATAGAAGAGAGGTAGTAGGAGACAGGGAGCTGGCTCTTTCGCAGATGGGAAGGGGACCAGGACAGCGAGGGAGGGCGGGGAGGGGGCCTGAGAAGAACTGAGATGTGTCCTGTGCATGCACCCGCTGCCCGCCGCAAACGTGGACTGACGAAACGTGCACTCAATAGAAAGGAGTCTCGTTCCCTCGGGAGGTTTTGGGGGCGGCGTGGGGAGCACTGAGGCCCGAGAACCCGCATGGCGCGCGGTGCGTGGCACGGTGGGAAGGACGCACGTCTGTTGCCTGGCCCGGGCCTGAGCTGTGCTCCCTGGCCCGCAGCTCATCATCCACGGCAGCTTCGCTCTGATCCAGCTGCCGCGTTTCCACCTTTTCTTCCTGGTCCCCGCGCTCATCTACGTGGGGGACAAGCTGGTGAGCCTGAGTCGGAAGAAGGTGGAGATCAGCGTGGTGAAGGCCGAGCTGCTGCCCTCAGGTACCAGCTGGAGCTTGGTGGCAGCAGGCGAGCTGGGACCAGTCTTCCAGCCTGGCCCAGCACAGGGGCAGGGGCCTGGGTCCGGGGAGGAAGAACCTGGTGGGAAACGCTCTTTGCCAGGAGACCCGAGCCTCAGCATAGACAGCGGAGGAGCCCAGGCCGGGCTGCCGCTGCTCTGCTGCCCTGGGCCTCCACGGGCAACAGGATGGGAAGCCCTCCCTGTCGCGTTCTGGAAGCTGGGGCTGTGATTGGGGGACTTCCGGAGCCCACACCCCACCTCCCCCTGCAGGAGTGACCCACCTGCAGTTCCAGCGGCCCCAGGGCTTCGAGTACAAGTCTGGGCAGTGGGTGCGGATCGCCTGCCTGGCCCTGGGCACCACGGAGTACCACCCCTTCACGCTGACCTCCGCGCCCCACGAGGACACGCTCAGCCTGCACATCCGGGCGGCTGGGCCCTGGACCACGCGCCTCCGGGAGATCTACTCGCCCCCCACTGGTGACAGCTCTGCCAAGTACCCAAAGGTATTTGGGTAGCCCCAGACTCCCCTTGGTGCTCCCCTTGGTCTGCCATGCCAGCCTGGCTGCCCCCAATAATGCCACACCCCTCCTAGTCTCTCCTCACCCATGTCCCTGCCTGTGCCCGCCAGCCACTCCTGGCTTTGGAACGATGGTGGTGGCCAAGCTGAACTCCAACCCTGCCCTCCCCACAGCTCTACCTCGATGGACCCTTCGGAGAGGGCCACCAGGAGTGGCATAAGTTTGAGGTGTCCGTGCTGGTAGGAGGGGGCATTGGGGTCACCCCCTTTGCCTCCATCCTCAAAGACCTGGTCTTTAAGTCATCGGTCAGCTGCCAAGTGTTCTGTAAGAAAGTGAGTATCCACTCCTGTGGCTGTGCACACCACTCATCTGCCCCCACCTGTCCCTCTCTTACCTGTTGCTGTTCTCGGCCCTGGATTGGGCAGGGGCCAGATGGCCTGAAGCCTGGGGGTGGCTGACTGGTGGCTTGTGTCACGGCACCCCTAGACCCTGCAGGACAGAGAGGGCTTGCTGATTGAGCAGACTCTTCCCTTGGTCTCGGGGCTCTGCAGGAGTTGCCTGTGAGGGCCCCAGGGCTCTGTGGGCCAGTAGCCAGCAGGGCCTGCCTTGGGTGGGGCTGGGCGACCCAGGCTTAGCTGCAGGAGGGAGAGAGGCGGCACGGCAGGCCTGGTGGGCTGGTTGGGCCCGGGCCCTGGGCCTCCCTGCTGGCCTGGCCCCTTCCCGCTGCTGGGCCAGCAGCAGGTCCCTACGCGTCCCCGGGCCGGCAGGTGAGTCAGGGGAGCCAGAGTGAGCTGGCAGAGGCCTGGCCCAGGTGTCATCAGCTCTCACGGGGTGCCAGTGCTGCCTCTGTGCTCTGGGCAGCCTCCACCGAGCCGGGTGCACAGGACAGGCCGGCTCTGGGCTGCTGCTTCCCCTGCACTGCACTCCTGCTCTCAGTCGAGGGAGGTCCTCAGGCCTGGCCCCTTGCTACCCCTACTTCCGCCTCAGCCTGGCCTGGGGCTCACGCTCACCATGTCCCTGGCTGTCCAGGCAGAGGCCCAAGCAGGCTGAGGCAGGAGAGTTCGGTCTGGGTAGAAACCCCAGGATGGAGGGAGCCTGAGCGAAGCCGGTCCTGCGCTCCCCTGTGTCCCCAGATCTACTTCATCTGGGTGACTCGGACCCAGCGGCAATTCGAGTGGCTGGCCGACATCATCCGGGAGGTGGAGGAGAATGACCACCGGGACCTGGTCTCCGTGCACATCTACATCACCCAGCTGGCCGAGAAGTTCGACCTCAGGACCACCATGCTGGTAGGTGGTCGCTGCCAGGCGGGGCTGGGAGTCGGCCCGGGCATCATCAGGCATCGGCGGCCCGGCTGTGACCTCCTGCGTCCCTCCCAGTACATCTGCGAGCGGCACTTCCAGAAGGTGCTGAACCGGAGTCTGTTCACGGGCCTGCGCTCTGTCACCCACTTCGGCCGGCCCCCATTCGAGGCCTTCTTCAACTCCCTGACGGAGGTGCACCCGCAGGTCAGTCCAGCCCACAGCCTGGCTCTGGGGTCCCCAACCTACCACGTGGCTGCTGCTGAGAATCTGTGCCCCGGGCCCTGGGAGGGGAAGTGGATGGAAAATGATGGAGGGGAGGTCTTGGAGCTCTGAAGCTCTGTCCAAGTGGCAGAGCTGAACAATCCAGCTGGTCCTCACAATAAATGTGGCCAGGTTGCCATGAATTCTGAGCCAGCCCTCCGACGAGCAGTGACAAGCAAACCTTCCCCAGGGACACTGGGGGGCTCCTGGTGGTCTGTGTGATCAAGGAGCTCGCCCTGCTACACCACTTCCTCCTGCTGCAGGTACGGAAGATCGGAGTGTTTAGCTGCGGCCCCCCTGGCATGACTAAAAATGTGGAGAAGGCCTGTCAGCTCATCAACAGGCAGGACCTGACTCATTTCTCCCACCATTATGAGAACTTCTAGGTCCCCTGCCCAGGGCTCTGCCTGGTGCCCAGACCAGAGGTTTGGGCCCACACCCGCCCGGTACTCGCTGTTGCCGGCTGCCTCTGCCACTCTGCCTTCCACCCCCCAGCGTGGCCCGGGTGGCTGTGCTCAGTGGTCGTGTGTGGCCTCAGGGGTCCCCAAATGTGCCCCAGTCAGGAGAAGTGGAGGAAATGTCCAGGAGCCCGGGGTGGGGGTGGGGGAGCTACCGGTTTAGGGCAAAGTGAACCTTTTCTTCCCGGGTAAGGGGAAGCAACTCAAGCCAACAAGCAGTGTGCGCGCACGAGTGTGCACGTGCATAGGGCACTTACGGCCTGCGGATCAAGCGGGGTCACGGATGCTGGCATCTTCTAGTACCCCTTTTGGGGTCCCCACTTTCACAAGGCTGGCAAACTCCCTGGGGCCATAGCAAGTAATTCACAGGAAGCCCTCCGAGTCCCGCTAAGGCACACCTGCTCCTGGAATCGTTCACACCGCTCAGACCCTGTTACACAGCGTCCTGCAGCCTCCCCTCTTGCTCCTTAGTCTCCTTCATAAATAAATCGTCTTTCCGCCTCCACGCTTTCCTTATCCTACCCGGGACAGGTGAGCAGAGGAAACCGCTCGCCCAGGCGGCTCCAAGCTCGCCAGCATACACTTAGCAAAGGAGCACAGGGCCAAGCACGCAGCTGTGAGCCAGCCCGCAGGCCGGATGGGGGGCAGAGAGGGTGTGGGGCTCCGAGGCGGCGGCTGGGCCGGCCTGGCTGCTTGGGACCTCGGCTTTTCCTGCTCCTGTCCTTACGCACGTGGGGCTTCGACAGTGGGAGGCAGCCAGGGACCGTCTCGCCCACCAACTGACCTCGAGGGCCCTTTCCATCTGCAAGCTGGGGGTCTCCAGGTCTTAGAGACGGGCCCACCTCTGGGAAGGGATCCCCCAGCGTGCTGCTCTTCCGCTCATCCTTTCCACGGACCCCACGAACCTCCACGCTTGTCGGATTAAACTCACGCAATTTCCTGGACGAGACGCTCCTGAGCCCGACTCCCGCCACCCTCGGGAGCCGCGGGGGGTCGGGGGTGGGGGGTGGGGCAGGACGTTGGCCGGCCCTCCCAGGGCTGCCGTGGGGTCGCTGCTGAGCCGCTCCTGGAGGGTGCGGCTGCCAGGGGGCGCTGTGGCCGACCCGCGCACTGCAGCCTCCCGCCCGGCGGTCCGGCGAGCACTGCCTCCCCGCCTGCCGGGCTTTGTCCCCGCGCCGCCTTCTCCCCCACCAGGGCCGCGCCACGCCTCGTCCGCGCGGGGGCCCCGACGCGCCAAGCGCCTTTCCGCAGCCGCCCGCCTTCGCGCCCCGCTCCCTCCCCTGGGCCCCCGGGGCGGCGCCGGTGCAGACGCGGCTGTGCCTGGCAGGATCGGTTTATTTATTGCCGCTGGCCCGGGGCCGGGCGCCCGGGAGCGCGCGCTTTCCCAAGGCGCGAACGCCTCTCCGCGGACCCGGGGGCTCAGGGAGACAAGGGCGGGAGGAAGCCCCCCCGCCCCAGGTAGCCCGGGCTGCAGCTGCCTGGCCCGGCCCGGGGACCAGCGGCTCCAGACGAACCCCTGCCCAGGGCTCCAGGCGCCTTCCCCTTTACAATAAATTAAGGAATCTCCAGGTCTACACCCCCAGGGCGGGGGATGTGAGGCTGCAGGATCGAGTCCCGTGTGACCCTCCAGGCCCTCAGCCAGGTGCCAGGGCCGACCCAGGTGTGTCCCGGTGCCGGGGCCCCGTCTACAGAGTCCGGATGGCCACGGGGTACAGCAGGGACATGTGCTCGGCCCCCTTGATGGGCAGCTTGTGGCTGGCGTAGTGGTGAACGATTTCTGGCACGCTGCTGAAGGGTGGGCTGTTCTGGCCCAGCACGTACTTGTGTTCCTTGGTCCGGGACAGCTTCATGTGCATGAAGCCCTGGGTGCTCCTGTGTGGGAGGAGAGACCCTGTGAGTGGGGCGGCCAGGGACACCCACCCAACCACCCCCAGCCTTCCAAGTACCCACAGCGCCCATGGCCCAAAGCGGTGGGCAGGTGGGAGATGGCCAGGGCGGAGTGGGTGGGTGGTACGGGCCCTGGCGTGGGCAGCACGAGAACATCACTTCACCCTCCTCTGGGCGGCACCCCCCCCAGCCTCGGAGCCTACAGTGACATCACCCAGAAGCTGTGGCTCCATGCCCTGCCCAGCTCCCTGTACCTCATACCCCCACCTTGCCAGTGCCCCAGCGTCCGGGACCCTCAGCCTTGGGGAGAGGCCATAGGAGTGAGGCTTCCCCAAATAGGTGTCCAAACTATGACCCCTCGTGGTGTGACAGGGCCGGGCCTGAAACACCCACAGGCTGGGTAAGGGATGTCTGGAGAGGCCCTAAAGCTCGCTAGGGCCAGGACCCACCTGGGGACAAGGACAGGGCTTAGGGGGGTCTGTCCTTAGGCCCCCACCTAGGCACAGGCCAGCGAGAGAGCAGTGGTGGTCTGGGGAGTCGGCAGCCCCCAGAAGGCTGGGGCTGGGTCAGGGTGTGGGGCATCTGCAGGCCTGAGATAAGGCCTGGACTGGCGCTGACAGCCTCTGAGGGGAGCGTCGAGCACCGTGTGCCCCTCACCAAGACCAGGCTGCAAGACCAGGCGGCAGCCCTATTCCCCACGGTCACGGGAAGCAGGCTTTCCCTGAAGCTCAGCAGCACCCTGTACTTCCTCCTCCAGGGACAGGGGCCAGCGGGCCGGGGAGGGTGGCTCTGGCTTCCCACCCAGGGACAAGTCCTCAGGGTCCATTAGGGCACAGCAAGGCCCTCGATGGACCCTTGGGCTGGGTGGGCCCGGCTGGCCACAGGGCCAGGGCTGGCCAGGCCTTCCGAGGAAGCTGTTTAATTACTAGTGAAAGCCCTTCCATTAGGGAGAGAAGAAAAGCTGTAATTGTATTTCAGAGAAGCCATTTATATGTAAACGAGGCCCTGGCAGACAGAGGCAGGCGAGGCCAGATCAGCCTGGGCTGGGGCGGCCACGGCTGATCAGCTGGCTCCCTGCTCCCAGTTGCTCCAGGGAGCCAGGCCCTGCCTCTCCCCTGGCTGGGCCCAAAAGACTCTGGGCACACAGGGCAGGGGTGCTCAGAGTCAGATGGAGCTGGGTTCAAATCTCAAATTGGGAAACATATACATGTATTTTAAAAAACTCTGTTTTCCTTTTTTTTGAAACTGGGTCTTGCTATGTTGCTCAGGCTAGCCTTGAAGTCTTGCTTGTGTTCAAGTGATCTTCCTGCCTCAGCTTCTCTGGTACCCAGGGCCCACGAGTGTACATCACCGTGGCCTGCCACAGCCTGGGCTTGGGGACTTAATTTAGCTGGTGACCTTGAGCAAGTCACAAACCTCTGAATCTATTCTGTATGCATAAAAAGAAACCTATCTGGTGACCAGTGTTAGTTGCTTTGCAGATAATGTATATGTTGCTTGGCAGGCTTCATGAAGCTTGGCAGTAATTATTTAAAATGATACACCATATGAAGTTATATAAACAAAAATTTTTTTTGGTTTTGCTTTTTGAGACGGACTCTTGCTGTGTAGCCAAGGTTGGCCTCGAACTCTGTGATCCTCCTGCCTCAGCCTCCAGAGTGCTGGGATTACAGGCATTTTTCTGTTATCTTTCATTAAAGCAGAATGAGAACTCCCCAGGTATATGCAGCTCAGAAGTCCCTTGACTGTGCACTTTAACATGTTGCTGTTTTGGGGACAGGGTCTCACTAGGTAGTTCAGGCCGGCCTCAAACTCAAAGCAGTCCACTTCCTGCCTCAGCCTCCCGGAGCCACACAAGTGTCAGCACCCTTCTGAGCTGTGGCTGAGGGTGCCGGTTCCCCCGCCCCGTGGTCCCCGCTCACTTGAGGGACAGAGAGAAGTCATTCTTGCTGGTCTCGCTGTTGCGCACCAGGTAGCTGGCTTCCTTGCACAGCCGCAGCAGGTTCTCGGCGTCGGTGCGGCTGATGGCCCCGTGGTACCAGCTGGGGAAGAGAGCGGAGGGGACGTCTCAGTGGGGCCGGCCCAACCTTCGGGAAGCCTGGGCAGCCCCCCGAGGGAGGCAGGACGCAGACACTCACACCTGGTCCTCCAGCGGCAGCTCAGGGTCCGTCCACTCCCCCAGGGGGCTGCCGGGCTCTGTGCCCAGGGGCTTGGCAGGCTTGGAGGGTGCCCCAGGGAGGCGTGGAGGCAGTCGCCCTTTGTCCTCCCGGCCAGGCGACAGGCAGCTCTTCTCCGATCCCTCAAACCGGGCTGTGGGGGACACACGGGTCAGGGATCCCGAGGGTTTGGGCACCGGTGGCAGCCACTGCGGGGTCCCCTCACCCCGCCGGGACAGGGTGCGTGGCCCACCCGAGCTGGGACTTTGAGTCCCGCCCCTGGGGAGGTGGCTACTGGGGAAGCACTTAGCGTCTCCCTCAGGAGCGGCTGACAGCCTCCCGCCTCCCACCTCCCACCTCCCCCTGCGGCTTCGGTGCTGATAATATTGTTTCTTTCTCCTCCTCAGAGTTCATTACCGTTCTCCAAATCGCCCCGCCAAGCCATCCCGCAGAAATGACTTATCGATTGGAGAACAATTACCTGCCTCCCCGGGTGCCATCCTGACAGGCTAATCCTGCCCTCCCCGCCCCAAGACCGCTGCCTGACACCCCCAGAAGCCCTGGGGGTGGCTCTGCCCTGCCAGACCAGGGGAGCCCGACAGCGGCCACCCCAGCGGGTCCCAGCCTGGGCATACGGCGGGGACAGCCACTCCCCCAGCACCACGGCTCAGGTGCCATGCACCACAGACACCATGTCCACCCGCAGGCGCCCGTTCTGGCAAGGGCGAGGGAGTTCCGGTGCTGTCTGTTTGAGCTCGCTCTCTCCTCTACCACTCTCAAGCCCTTATAGTCCTCTGGTCACCAGACGCAAGGACACCAGACACCTTCACTCCCACTAGAGGCCTCCCATGCCAGTGCCACCTCACCTCGGGGTGTCTGCATCACACTGGCAACCAAAGCTCTACCCAGGAGGGGATTTAAAGCAGCGAATTTTGCTGGGGGGGGGTTGGTGGTGGTGGATGCCTGTAACCCTAGCACTCTGGGAGACTAAGGCAAATCGAGCGACTTAGCAAGAATGGGTCTCAAAAAATACAGAAAGAGGGCTGGAGATTTAAAATACAAAAAGGGCTAGAGACATTGCTCAATGTGAAGGCCCAGGTTCAATCCCCAGTACTGAAAATAAAACAAAAGTAAGTGGATTTCCATGGCATGGTGGGTACATCCACCTCCAGGAGAGGAACATGCGTTCTGTCCCTTCCCTCTCCCTCCCGGACCAGTGGGATTCTTCTGTGTCTCCTAGCCCCACCCCACCTCTCGGCTCCTCCGGCTGAAGGGCAAGAGGACCTGTCCCCCTGGACAGAAGCCCCCCAGGACCCACCGATGCCGTCCTCCAGGCTGGGCTCAGGGAGGGGTGAGGCTGGACCAGAGATGTCCCTGTCCCCGTCGGGCAGGGAGGGGCTGCTGTCCAGCTGTCCCACGGGTGGAGGCCAAGGGAGGTCTTTGATGACCTTTATGTCAACTGCGGCCAGCAGCAGAAGGAGAAGGAAGACAGTGACAGAGATGAGACAGAAAGAGGCAGAGGTTGAGACACAGGACAGCTGAGGCAGGAGGGGCAGGACAGCATGCTCGGGGGGCTGGCCTCAGTCACAGGGTGGGGCACTGGGCGGGCCCTCTGTCGGCCACGTGGTCCCCTTCCTTCATTCTACCTCTCAGGACCCTGGAAGGCCCAAAGGGGCCAGGAAAAGCGGAAAAGCAACGGGAGCCAGGAGCCACCCACACCCTTTGCCATCTGTCCATCCCGGACCCAGCAGGCTGCATGGCCTGGGGCTGTCAGGAACCTGCCAACCAGGGCAGGCGGTTTACTGAAATCTAATGCCCCATCCCAGGAAGAGCGACGCAGGGGGCGGCTGCAGGATTGCTAACAAGGTTTCCTAATGACAGGCATAGATTTTCCCATTAGGCAATCCACACAGTATTGATTCTCCAGGAGACTTCTGGAGACGAACGGCCTGTCCCGGGTGTGCACTTTACAGGAAGCCGAGGAGGGACCTCTGGTTTCCCAGTCTGGCAGCCTGGCAGGCCGGAGGCAGGGCGGCGGGCTCGGCTGGGCCTGGAAGGGCAGCGGCGTGGCAGGCCTGATCCTCACTCTGCCATCAGGGGACTTCTCTCATGTCCCGCTGGGCACCCCTGGGGACACACAGCCGGCGTGCAGGGCCCAGCACCAGGAGACACAGCCCTGGCCTTTGCGCTGCACACGTGCCTGCCGCTGTCTGCCCCGTCTGACTCACCAGCAAAGGCTTTGGAGATCCTCTCCTTCTTCCACTCCCACGGCTGGTCGTACTCCTCCGGGGGCCTCTCGTCGTCCTCCGGCAGGCGGGACTCCCGGGGCCAGGGGGCACCCTCACCCTCGGGGCTGGGGGGCTCCTCATCTGGCTCGTAGGGGGTGTCGTACAGGGGCAGGGGCTGGGCAGCCGGCTCCTTGGAGCCCCGGATCTCTGCCAGGGCAAGGACAGGGAGACGTGTGGGCTCGGTCCCAGACTGGCCTCCCTCAGCGGGGAGCCCAGCAGCCACACCTTGTGGGGCTGTCACCCTCAAAACAGTTCTGGACTGCACAGGGCATTGGGTCAGCACCTCAGCATGGAAGAGAGAAGCAAAAAGAAGGAAAAGGGACCCCCTTCCAAACCAAACACTGGAAGGGCTCTTAAAGCACGAGGCTCAAGGGAGACAGGGGCAGACAAGCACCACAGTGAAAGGCAGAGAAATAAATCCTTGAGCCAGCTGTGGTGGCACACACCTGGACTCCCAGCACTCAGGAGGCTGAGGCAGGAGGAGGCCAGCCCGACTACATAGAGAGATCCTGCCTCAAACAGAAAAAGGGTCTCATGACAGACAGCAGGTGCTGAACAGCCTCAGTTGACATGCCCCAGGGGACAGAGTCAAGGCCCTGCACTCACCCCCTCCTCCTGCCACCCAGCCCATTTACATCCCCAGGACCCGAGTGACATCACAGCACACTGAGACCCAAGTCACAGGCTCTTCCCCCACTGTTCTCACTGCTCTTTCCCCAGGTCATCTCCATTCTCCCTACCCTCACCCTAGGCCTCCTTGCCCAGTCTCCCAGCATGAACAGCATCGAGATCTGTAGTCGTCTCCCCACGGCCACAAAGATGCCCCACTTGGACATCACATCACTTCCAGGTAACCGCCTTCCTCAAAGCTGCAGCTTTTGGGGGTCACTGGCCCCGGTGAGAATCTGATGAATGCCAGAGCTACTCCAGAAAAGCGTGTGCTCAACTCCAGGACATCTGGGGCCTGCACGCCTCTGACCTCAGCAGGTGGCCATCTTCGCTCCTCCTCCATTTCCGCCCACCACACTTTCTCTGAACCCCCTCTGTTCCCTGCCAGGACATGATGCCTTTCCCCTGCCCTCTTCCCGTTCAGATCACTCCCAGGGTGAATCCCAGCCCCAGGGCTCAGGTCTCCAGGGCTCTGTGGAATGAGATGCCTGGGACAGCCCTCTCTGCTCAGCCTGGCCAGCAGAGCAGATTCCCTCCTGGATCTGCCTGTGTGCAGACCACAATCCCGCTCCCCTCCCTGTGCAGCGGGCAGCCTGCTCCCTGCAGAGGCCGACAGCTTCCTGCGCTGCCCGAGCCTGAGTGGGCAAGTTCAGTCCTGCAGCAGAGAAGCCCACTGTGGTGGCACTGCTGGGCGCCGCTCCCCAGTCCACTTCATCAGTAAGAAAGCTGATATTTTTGATCTGCCCACCACTGTCTATTTCCTTCATCTTATTTCTCAATTATTTCCAAGCTCAGGAGAGGAAGAAAGAGGCCTTAATTACTGGCCCCGTAAGCCCCCAAGTTTCTCGACAACCTAATAGTTCAACTCCCCACTCCCTTCCTCTTTCTGTTTTCATTGCTGCTGTGTGAAGACAGCGCCTCCCTCCCCATGCAGTCCTGCTAGCCTTGAACTTGCTATGCAGCCCAGGTTGGCCTGGGGCTGGGATCACAGGCGTGCACCACCGTGCCTGGCTCTAACTTTCTGACGACCAGTTCTTCCAGTCCACTCTGCATACAAAGGATGCAGTAGTCCTCTTAAAATGCTGCATTTATCCTTTCCTGCTCAGGAATTGCAGATGACTGCAGGCCCCTTTGGAGCAAGTCCAAAGGCCTCATTCCAAAAGCACTTCCCCGTGTGTCTGGGCCTCTCAGCTGCCAAACACGTCCGCCACCAACACCATGTGCCCCGGGACCCTGGCACACACGTGCCAGCCTCGCTCGTCTGATCACCCCGGGTGCTCCCCAGGCCAGGTCTTCTTCATCTCCCCATAGCCTAACTCTAGATCTCCTTGCCGGGTCTCCCAGCCCCGACTGGGTCTCTGTTTCTAGTTGTGTTTCTCACTGCCATAAAGCTGTTGCACTTCAACGTGATGTCATTCCGAATTTGGAACTTCTGGCCGTGTAGCCGTCCCAGGCACAGCTCCTTCTGCAAAGTGACTGCCTTATACATGAAGGCCACCCCTCCAGGGCTTGGCAAGGGCACCCCCTATTTTCTTGGGACCCAGGCATGAGTCCTTAGACATGGGGGCCCCAGAGCCCGCTCTGTGGGGCCCAGGTCTCGGGGGACACCTCCTGTGCCCTTCGCTCACCAGCCATCATCTTCTGGGCCTCGTAGGGCTCCATGTAGCCGTCATTTTCGGGGACCTTCTCCGGGGCCCCTGAGGCTCCTGCTGTGGCTTCTCCAGTCTCCTGGACATCAAACGGGTCTGCGTAGTCTTCCAGGATGGCCAGCTGCGAGAGAGTGTGAGGAGTGGCTGCAGATGGCCCAGGGGCAGCCCCCGCCCCCGTTCTGTCCACAGCCAAGTCCTGGGGGGCCTCAACCGGTGCCCCCAACCCCAGGGCAGCTCAGGGATGGGCTCGGGCTCTTCTCTGTAGCCCTAACCAAGTGTGCATCTTTCTTTCCCGTTAACTGCGTGTCCCTGGGCAGTGTCCCATGCTTCAGGACACGAGCCTAACTGGGTGGTTCAAAGGGAATTCCAAGGACTGGTGAAAAAGGTGTCAGACTGCAGGGGGTGGGGAGCACACACACAGAGAGGCAGCAAGGAGATCTTCGCTCCCAGACACCGAACAAACACAGGCAGGGAAGCGGAGAACGCACTCAACTGGAGCCACTGCAGTCCTGCTGTCTGATCCGCACGACGGCCCAGGCATGCGGTACCAAGCCCATTTGTGGTAAATGAAGGCCCAGGGCAGTCAGGGACCATTCTGCCTAGGTGGGGGACGCAGGACTGGAACTCAGGCCCTTGTGCAGAGCCCCATGAACCTGCCACCTGGAGCCTCTTGGCTGTGCTGGTAGAGACACAGGGCTGGGCTGGGCAGAACCCCCCGGCGCCCACACTTCTGGGAGAGGGGCCAGGCTAGGCCTCGCCTCGGCCCTCCACCTCCCATGCGCTGCTCTCCTCAGAATGGGCTTCCAGCAGCCCCATCTGTCCCCGCACCTGAGTGGCACAGCTAACCACAGCGCACACCCTGCAGAGGCGCCCGAGGTGCTGGGGTGGGGCCGACTCAGGACAATGGCGCTTTCTCCACGCTGGGCGCTGGCTTCTCCTGGGGCTGGCAGCAGTGGAGACGCAGCCCGGCCCACCCAGGGCCTCCAGCACCCGGGTGACAGGAGGGCTACTCGTGCCTTGCTGGGCTCTGGCTCTGAGCAGGGGAGCCTGCTGGCCCCTCCCAATGGCTCTACCATCCCTCCTCCTGGGCCTCAGTGCCCAACTCCTTCCTCGACCTCCCTGCTTGCACAACTGGCACCTCCCACGATCCCATGGCCCAGACCAGACCGTGTCATGCCCCAGCCTGGAGCTCCTCGTCCTGGTCTCTCCAGCTCCAGCAGGCTCCTGGCACGCAGCAGGCACTGGGAGATGTTTCTGCCCATCACCACTGACCACCGTCAGAGCCCTTCACTGTGGTCCTCGCACCTTGCCCTGCCCTGTGCCCTCTTGCCACAGCCCCACACCTTGACCGAGGGGCTCCGGACCCCACTACTGTCAGTGCTTCAGCCTTGCAAAAGCTCCTGGGTGCTCTAAGAGGTCCAAAGTTAGAGATCCAAGAGCCTCTCCTCCTTGGTTTCTCCACCCGCCGGGATCACTGTCCCTGGAAGCTCAGTGCTCCGTCCCTGTCTCCATCACTTTCCTGTGGCAGATGTTTGCTTCCTGGACATCTTCCTGTAGGCTAAGCTTCCTGAGGGCCTGACCCGTTCACCTCTAAACACCCTCGGCCTGCACCCTCCCAGTGGTGAGCTGTTGGGCCATTCACACCAAACAGAAGAACAGACAGCAGGCGCCTTCCCCAGTTCATTCAGAAACAAGCAGAAGCAGGAACCTAGGTGGGGCCCCTGGGGGCCAGGTGAGGCTGAGTTCCCAGAGGCTCCTCCTCCCAGCCCCTCACTCCTTCCCACTCCCCCAGTCCCCAGCCCCTCCTTCCTCCCCCTGGCCCAGTCAGAGCTGCAGGTGGTCCGCTCCTCCCAGACTGGCATGGGCCTCCCTCCCCATGCCTCCTCCAGCCTGCAGTGCCTATGGGTAGCTCAATGGCTCCTCTGTTCCACTCCTGGCTCCACACCTTGCTCCAGGAAGCCCCAGCCCTGGCCCTGAGCACCGCACACAGTACCCAGGAAGGCTGGCAGCCTGGGCACCTGCCCTGCACCCACAGAACCCCAGGGGCCCAGGCCTGCTGGTCTGAGGGGACAAACAGCTCAGGGGAGGCGGCTCTGCCACCTGGGGCACCTGGAAGCCACCACGACTGGCTGTTTTGTTAATGGTCCCCTGGTCCCGGCTGCTGTGCCCACCAGGGCCTAGAACAGCAGGCTCTCATGAGCACTTCCTGGATCCTAAAGGCCTCCTTTTCCGTCCCCACACTCCATCCTTGGGAGGGGCTCCGACTTCTGGACCCCCCCCCCCAGACCCCAATTCCCTCGGACCCCTGACTGACAAGCAATGGCATCAGGATCAGCATCCGAATAGAACCAAAGCCTCTGGGCCAGGCTGAAGGGAGGAACGGCCAGCCAAGGGCCCCAGGCCGGGCTGCCATCCAGGCCCACACTCTGCACCAGCAGCTACTGCCAGATCACAGCTGAAATGCGGACTTACTTCCCAGCCGGGGCGCCCTGACCCCCTGCCTCCCCGATGGCCCTCCTCTGGTCAACTGGACAGTGCCCCAGAGCACTCCTCCCTCAGGTCTGCTTCCTGCACATGGGGAGCGGGCCCAGCCTCTGTGCTCCTACACTCTGCAGCGGGGCCACAGGAGGCGTCTGGAAACCCCTGTCTTTCTCAGTTGCAGAGCGAGGTGGACTAGTGCCCATCTCAGGGCACGGAAGAGAAGACGGGTTTTTAACAGTGCTCAACCCAGGGCTGGCGTGGGGCTGGTGCTCAATACCAGACCGCTCCGAGGATAATCTATGTTCCAGAATTAAGCCCGCAGGGTTTAAGTCTTGCAGAGGCCAGAGCTCCTCAGAGCGGGACACGGGTCTCCTGACTCCCAGGGCTTGGTCGCACATTTTTCAGAAGTTTGGGAAATGCTGCATCTTCTCTCTTCTCTGCGGCTTTCAGTTTTACTTTAGTGGTGGGGGATGCAGCCCGGTGACAGAGCACTTGCCTAGAGTGTAAGGCCCCAGTGAAGATGCAGCACCACACACACCTGGAGAAGTCCTGCACAAAGAGATCCCTCTAAGTTTTGCTAATTTCAGTACTGGCCCAAGAGTTTAAACCCTTTGTCACTGAGTCCCTGGGAAGGGACTGCTCAGTCCGGGGAAGGTTTCATTGCTTACCGTTCCTGAGGTCAAACTTCTGGTGCAGGCTGCTCCTAATTCTTGGGATGCCTTCGCCTGCTTTATCTGCCTGGGAAACTCTTCCCACATGAAACACATTATTTTTCCTTTTCTAATCATGAGAGCAATGCATTGTTTACAAGGGAGTCACACATCACAGACATGTGGCTGCCGCTGCCGCCCCTTCCAAGTCCCCAGGGTGCACCTGTGGCCAACTCAGGACTGAGGGGCCAGTAGTGGGCCAGGAGGTGGTGGCTACGCACAGAACACAGCCCTCGTCCCTTCTCTGAGTCGGCCTCCTCTTGCTCCTTAGCAAACGCTTCAGGAATACCCACCCCATGGGCACCAGTGGGGCCAGGCACGGTGCTGCCTGGAATCGGGTCGCAGGGCAGTGTGCCTCTGCTGTGCTACCCGCCACCTGAGAAACTGTGCAGACTTGGCTCAACAGTCCCGTGCCTCAGTTTTCTCATACAGAAACCCAGAATAGTAGCACAGTCTTCTGTATAGGACTGTTGAAAGGATCAACCGGCCTAACATCAGCTGTTTCAAAGTAGTTGCCAAGGCAGGTGGTCAGTAAACGTCAGCTACTAGGTTATTCAAAATGAAAAGAAGCCGGTTATGGTGGCGCATGCCTATGAGCCCAGCACTGGGGAGGCTGAGGCAGGAGGATCACCGAGAGTTCAAGGCCTGCCTGTGCAGCAGGTATCCTTCAAGCCTCTGTCTTGGCCAGGACGTGCTCTGCTCAGCCAGCCCCTCCTGTCCACGGTTCTCAGGGTCCCAGCTGTCACCAGCTTGCCATAGGCAAGTGCCAGGGCTGAGCTGGGACTGAGTCACTCACTGATAAAGCTGACAAGTGCGGCAGATGTCTCCAACAGAGTGCCAGGCCAAGGGGATGGGGCACCCATATGACCCCTCTAGTGACCCACAGGCCTCAGCTGTCCTCAAAGCACAACGGTAGCACATGGCCAGCTTGGGTTAGACACCAAGAAGTCCAGCCTGTGCACAAAGGCCCAAGCCCTGGACTCCTCCCATCCCTTCCCTTCCCTTCCACCTCCCTCTACTGCATCACACATGTGCAACGTAAGCGATCACAGCCCCAGACTGTGGGGGGCCAACAGGAAGGGAAATTAAAGTTACATCCCAGGTGCACACCTGGGATTCCAGCACTGGGGAAGCTGAGGCAGGAGAAATCACAAGTTCAAGGCCAGGCTGGGCTACACAGTGACTTCAAGGCCACCCCGAACTACACAGTGAGACTGTCTCAAAAAACCAAACCAAACCAAACCAATAAAGCCACTCACAAGAGGCAAGGACCAGACCTTCAAGGAGTAGAGTTCCTTTCCACATTGAGGACAATGCCACTTACACACGATACTGGGGGAACACTGGCTAAGGGGCCTCAGGGTGGGATTGTCGTGCTCGACTTTGGACACTGACTGTCCCCCCTGACACCCCTCTTCTGTTCTCAACCCCATCTTTGGGAGGCACACCCTAAGAACCTGAGAGTCAGTGCACGGTTCTGGAGCCTTCATACCCGGGCCACCTCCCGCCATGAGCAGAGACCTCTGGTGTCACACAGGGCTCCCGACTGCATCGAAGTCTGTGCCACTCGCCCTCGGCGGCACAAAGTAGGGTCACCCTGTGCTGACGACCACCGGCAGCCCAGCCATCCCCTCCTGGAATGAGACCAGGTCTTCCTGTTGAAGGTCACCAGAAAGCGAGCAGGTCAAGGGGAGGCCCCGCTCCGAGACCCCTCTGCTGGGCACAGCCGGGTTGGAGGGACAGGGCCCAGCGCCAGCCAGGTCTCTTCCTGCAGCCAGATGGTGAGGGCCTTCCTGCCCGCCACATGACCCCACTCCTGCTGGGCCTGCACCTGCCCTCCCCAGCTACCCAGATGGACACCCTGAGCCCTGCCAGCCACAGTGGGGGGCTCATGGCGGCCAGCAGCCAGGGTCCCAAGCCCCTAGCCTCTTAGGCTCCCGTCCAGGTCACCCTCTATCCCCACGTTCACTGGGCTCTTCCGCATCCCTCCGTGGATTCCTCCACCCCCGCATCCGATCTGGACACAGGCCCCTCTCAGGGGGTTCAGACCTGCCGCTGCCCCTGCTCCAGCCCTGGATCCTGGGCTCTGGGAGGAGACACGGAGGCCAGCGCCAGGCTCACTGCATCCCCAGTCCCCACATTCCCTCCGGAGAAGATCCAGAGCTACAGCCGAGGGGACCCTTGGAAGTAAGAGGGAGGAGAACACAGCACAGAGACGCCGGCTTGGCTCGGCTTGGCAGGCCCCAAGGGCGCCCAGACATGCAGTGAGCTCGTCACTGGACACTTGGTCTCAGCTGGGCCCAGGGAGGCCTCCGGGTTCCCCCAGCTCCACTCCCAGGGGGCGGGAGCTGTCCTGTCCAGGTCAGGGCCCATGGGGACTCCTTGCCCGCCAGGCTCAGGTGACATCCGAGCCTCCTCATCACACCCACTAGAGGAATACACACAGTAGTGTGGCTCCTTGGAGAGCCTGCCAGATTTCATTCCTGTCCCAGTGGCGGACAAAGACGTCTCCTGTTTGTCCCCCAGGTCTGAGCAGCTCACAGTCACAGGGCTGACTCAAGCAGGGGCCTGGCTGTCTCGGGTCTGCCTGCCTGGCCTCAGGGTGCAGGCCCTCCTTGGGGCCCCCGGGAAAAGGTGCACGGGGAGCTGCGGCTAGGAAGCCCCGGTAGTGGACAACTCTTTACACCAAGCATTGTGTCAGGCACCAGGGACACACAGAGAACCGACACAGACACCAGCCCCTGTCTTGGAGGGACACAGCTGTGGGCAGGCAGTCTGGCAGGTCACTCTGAGCCACGCACAGAGGACAAGGCCCAAGGACAGCTCAGGCCCCTGCCAAGAGCAGCGGCCGGAGAGAAGGCAGCAGTGGGGGGAAGAAGGGTTGCACACCCCTCTGCCTCGCTGCCACCACCGCCACCAGCACTCCTCTGCAGGGAAGATGAGGAAGGGGTCCCACAGCCTTGGGAAGCACCCTTGAGCCTCACTCTGCAGCCGAGGATCCTGGCCCAGGATGGCAGCTGTGGTCCCAGCCCCAAAGCAGGAACCACAGAAACATGAGTCACATTCTTGAGGCTTCAGTTCTGACCCCCACACATCTCAGTGCCAGGATTCGGATTCAGACAGCAACTCTGCTCTAATAAAGATGCTCTCTCCTCTCCAGAGGGAGCTGAGCTTGCAGGGTGAGTGAAGAGCGGGGCCGGCACAATGTCATCTTCCTGGGACCTAGGGGCACAGGACCTGGGGATGGCTTTCAGCTGTCACTCTGCCAGGGAGAGGCAGGCGATGCTGGGGCTGCCTGCTCTCCTGCCCACCCCAGTCCCTGCAGGCCATGAAAGGAGGGGAGGAATGCGCTGGTGGCTTAGCCTCAGCTGGGCAACAGGTCTCGGGCAACCATCCTCCTTTGGGGGGCACACAGGAAGGCGTGGGCCTGGACCCCAGGGGCCAACATCCTGAACAAGAGCCACACAGAGCCTGCCCTGGATTCTGGGAGCTGAACCCCCAGCTCCGGACCAGCAGAGTAAGGCAAGGGCCCGCTCTAGCTGGCTGTGTCCCTAGGGAGAAGCCCCGCCTTCACCTCCTTTCCGGGGCTCCAGCATTTGCCAGGATGCTGGGCTCCAGGAGGAGAGAGAGGGAGAGGAGGAGGAGGAGGAGGAGAAGGAGGAGACGCAGCAGCAGCAGGACGGAAAAGCTTTGCTCGGTTCTGCCCTGGGGGAAGGGTCAGAGATCAAAGGGCAGGGAGCCGAAGGCGCAGAAGCCAGAAACCAGCGGGGATGCGTGTGCTCTCCACCGTTCCGTTAGAAGAAAAGGCTACAGGCTGAGACTCCCGGGGGGTGCAGGCGGGGTGTGGAGTCCAGAGGGCCGGGGCACCGGTCCTGGGGCCACAGCCAGGCACCGGGTGGCGTCTGGCGCCCTTCTCGGATCGGCCGGCAGAGGATCTGAACAAAGGTGGGTTCAGGCTCCGAGCCCCAGGGTCAGGGGCTCCGCTGCTGACCGCGGGGACCCGTGACAGCGAGAGGTCCGGCTGCGGCCAGGCCACCTTTGTCCCTCGCGCAACCTCCAGACCTGCGACCACCTCCCCCGGCGGTCACCCCCGCCCAGCGCTCACTCACCCGGTCGCCGCCGGCCGGGGCTCCGGGGATCCGCTCCTCTGGAGGGGGCGCCGGGGGCCCCGGGGTCTCGACCCGGATCAGACGGTGCGGGGGGGAGCCGTGGCGCGGGGGCGGAGCGGGGCCGGGGGCGGCGGGCGTGGCGGAGCCGGACGGGCCCCCGGAGTAGGGGTCCTCGAAGTCGCGCTCCCGCTGCAGCCGGTAGGCGGCCAGGATGTCGGGGGGCGGCGCGGGGGGCGCGGCTGGGCAGGGCGCGGGGGGCCGGTAGTCGGGCTCCGGGGGCGCAGGCTTGCTGCCGCCGCCTCCCGCCCCGCGGAAGCCCAGGTGCTCCCGGAGCCACTTCGCCACCCCGCCGCTGCTGCCCCCTCCCGGGCCGGCGCCTGCCCCTCCCGCGCCGCGTCGGGACCCCCCCGGGCCTCCCCCGGCGCCCCCCTGCGCGCGCGGTGCGGGGCTGGAGCCCGCGGGAGGAGCTCCGCTCAGTAGCATGGGGCCGCGGGACTGCGCGCGGGGCGGGCGGGGCGGGGCGCCGGGAACAAGGGGGGGCGGGGACCGCCGACCCGCCGCACGGACCCCCGGCGCGGCGCGGCGACCGACGACCGGCTCCCGACCCCCGCGGGCGCGGGCAGGCCCCGGGACCCGGCACGGGGCGGCGAGACCGCGCGTGCACGGGCGGCAGCGCGCGACGGCGGACGACGCCGAGGCGTCCCGCGGGTCGCCGCCGGGGCACGCGGTCCCCGGCCGCGCGGCCCACGCGCGCACCGCGGGCCTCGGCACGAGACCGACCGACGGCGGAGCGCGGCGGGGAGGCCGGGCGGAGGAGGGCCCCGACGGGAACGGCGACCGACCCCCCCA